CTGAGACACAGGGATTCGAATCACTGTTTGGACAATAAAATTTACAAAATAAAACTCTAGACTTTTGCAATCATATTTTGTTTTAATATGCTATGATATATTTCAAATTTGAACGAAATCGGTGACGAAATAAAGATTGTAGCAACCCTCATTACATAAGTGTTTTTTAGAAGACTGTGCTCAACTCCCTCCTTAAACAAGGCACACAAAAGTTCCAATTGCATTACAATCAGATCTTAGTTCTAGTTAAAGTCAACAAAATTCTTAAACAGTTAACGTCAGAATGTCCTTTCGCGAACCGACCAATGAAATGACTAGCAGGAAGTCGTAATCAGCCAATCAGAATCAGCTTTCTCGAGCTATACGCGGCACTAGATTCAAACTACCGACTGCTGTTCTAAACTGCGCTTAAAAGTGAGTGAGTGAGTGAGTGAGTGAGTGCATATTGCTTAACGCCGCATCAGCAATGTAGCAGCTATTCGCGGCGAGCGCTTATAAGAATATTTTAGCAAAGTTCTGGATTTATAAATTGAAAACAGATCAAAAGGTCGTTCTAGAATGTCTAATGGATATCAATATGGTATGACAGCAGATCTCCTGGACAATGCTGAGTCTATTCCAAACGACCATAGCTACGTCACAGCTCCATGTCATCTAACTTAGATCAGGGTTTCGTTACGGGATTCGAACCGACACTCGCAGATAGAGGAATACTCGCTAGCACGTCTCATAGTCCCTGAACCACGTTTTTTTCCTTCCGTCCAGTCCTTTCTGCAATGTTGATGCCCTTAATGAAGCAAGTCTAGATTTCCTCAGATTGTCCCACCTCACTAGTTCTCTTTTGCAATGTAAATGGAATTATTTGTTTACCAAAATTATATATATTCAGAGACTAAGTGTTAATCCATCGTACAGTCAATAACTGTGGTTCACAGTACCCCGGGTAATCTTTTCAAGGTTGCCTGATCAGAAAACACATTCCTAATGTCACTTTTCTTATCTGACATGCGAGGCTCTGATTGGTCGGGTGAAAGGTCGTTCTGACGCGACCCGTAATAGGGTGTCCTGTTAGCGGTAGCTACAGCCCAGATATGATTTTAATGACACTGAATTAGTTATTAAAATTATTACTGATTACTGATTAAAATTTACCTTTACCTTCAAATGCCTATCTTTTTCTATAAAATAGAATTACTTTTAGCTAACGTAACACCACACTCAGAGACTAATTGATCTGGAGCAAAACAAGAAACAAATGTACATAGACTGATCATGTAACAGAATTTGAAGGGTGTAATTATATAGGGGGAAATAACATGGACGGTATAGACTATAGTTTCATCTTTATACAAATATTTAATATTATATCATATACTAGTAATATTAATACAAATCACTTTAAATCATTACCTTTCATTCTGTATAATGGCAGAGTACAGCGTAAATATTTGTGTGAGATATTTACAGTGTACTCTTCCAATGTACATAATGAAAGGTCCTGCTCAATAGTGATTTAAAATGAGATCCGCTCGAAGACATCATATTTGTTTAATAAAACACACACACACACACACACACACACACACACACACACACACACACACACAGCCTAATTGAAAGACAAAGGAAATACTTCAATTTAGTTTAGATTGATTTCCGTCTTCACAATCGATCAAAAAAAACCTAATACTGCAAACCATTAAGTCAAATGTGACGTCATCTTCTTTGATCAGAAATTCCTTGAATACACCAGTCAACGGTAGGTATCCTAGTAATACCCATCATACGGCAAAACAACAAATTACGTCGTAGATCTATATGCAAAACACAAAAAACGAACAAAAACAATATGCATCAACAACGAGGTCACTTCCCTCCCCCGTATCGACACCCGTTTGTGGAACACGATTTCCATGTCCCCATTTACTGTTAACTACCGCAGGTTAAATTCGAATATGTCACGTGACCCGTTTTTGCACCCGTGTTTGAAAAAGTGACACTTGCGTTACACAATACACACGAGACGGTGTCGTATTGACGTTGTTGTGTATATAGTGTGCACACATGAGTATATAACAGAAGGAGGGTAGTACTAGGGGTGGACGAGACACACTCACCCCTGGTCTCCATCGACGGGGGCTACCTGCTGAATGAAGCCTTGTATAAGTGAATGTAGTAACACCGTTATCAGTAATATACTATCTGTGTAGGTGACCGGCAATGATAAAGCCGTGAGAAGAACAACCGTTATCTTAAAGTCCTGTTTGAATCAACCCAACAATGCAGAACTCTAGGTAGACTGGGGCCAGTCTTTTTGGTAAATATTGTTTCTGTGGATGTTTGTTCTCAAGGGGGATAATCTTGCATGCACTATTTACACGGTCTCCCTTTCAGGTCCAAAGTCGCCCTGCCTACCTACCTACCTACCCACCCACTAGTCACCTACCTACCTAGCCACCCTCCAAACTACCACCTATACCCACCACCAAACTACCTACCTACCCTCTCATCCATCTACCACACTACCTACCCATCCAACAAACCCTTTCACCCTGTAAACAACCTACCTATATATACCTACCCAAACTACCTACCTACCCATCCAACAAACCCTTTCACCTTGCAAACAACTTACCTACCTGGGCCTAGATTTCCGAAGCTCTCTTAGCGCTAAGATAGTCGTAACTGCCATACACTAACATTAACTTACGAGTATCTTAGCGCTAAGAGAGCTTCGAAAATCTAGGCCCTGTAGCAACCCACCTACCTAGATACCCTCCAAACTACCTACCCCACCCACCCACCAAACCCACCACCTTATTGGTCCGTCTCCTGACTTGGTGCTATGTAAGAGTTTCAGCCAGTTGGCTAGGTGTAGGGAGTTAAGGGCTCCTTACTGTTAAGACATGCATTGCATGATATAACAGACCAAATAGTATACGGACCGCCTCCGTGGTGTAGTGGTTAGAGCGTCCGCCCGGAGAGCGGAAGGTCGCGGGTTCGATCCCCGACCGCGTCATACCAACAGACGTTAAAATATGGTACTTGTTGGTCCCAGCCTGGCGCTCGGCATTAATGGGTACAACAAGGACTGTTCGGCTCGGAGTCAGTATAATGTGTCTGAGTGGGTATTCATGCTTCACTGCGGCATGGTATCTCAGTGGGCTAGCACTATAAAACCAGCTTCAGTCTGGGCTAGTACAAGCAGCCGCACATACACATACACACGCATGCACGTCGTCATATGAGCGAAATATTCTCAAGCACGACGTTAAACCCAATTTCACCTCACCTCACCCCAAATAGTATACATGTATGCAAGTCTAGCGATGTTGTTGAGTGAATGAACATTGTGAAACCCCGTTTCCGATAGGGATATGAACTTATAGAAAAGGCATTATTCTGTAATGGTTCGTAACAATGTTTCAATCTGGACTACCTGGACGTACCCTCTGACAAGAATAAATACTTATTCTAATACATGCCGTGTAGTGTTTCAATGGTGTCCCTATTTATTGTATATCGTTGCGCCTGAAGTAATTATCGAGAAATCGCCGCCAAAAGGGTTAAATGTAAACAACAATAAAGCATTAGTTTAAGGTACATATATCTAAGCAACTATTCGATTCTGTAACAAAGCGCAAGTCATATATAACCCTTCTATAGAGAGAGAGAGAGAGTTGGGTTGAATCGAACCCGGGTCTTCGCTGTGACGGGCGAAAAAAAGGAACTAGATCTTGTCTATTGTTGACTCAAACAGCGTTGTTCCACTCGTACGTAATGACCGTGCTGATTCAGGGCGTATAGTGTGCGTCTAAATTTAAAAGCATGTGTACTCCCTGGCCGAACAGGATGTCTGTGGAACGCGGCGATTCACGCAATATGTGTCAGCTTTGAAGACCCACCTGGATAATTCGTGAAACAGTTGAAAGATCCACAGCGATATTTATAATACGTGCATGTGGATCAGTTTGAGACATGGACATTACTGAAATTCATATTGCAGATTAAATGTACACGGTTATCTGTCAAGAATACGTTTGAAACAATGACATCACCAATGTAATCAGGACATGCACGTTTTGTTATATTAATAAAACTGATAATCAACTTTTGGCAAGATATTATACGATTTCTGTGGTATAACTGTATTATACTTTCGTACATGCATTTTAGAAAGTATGAAAAAACAATACCTGCGCCTTGAGCATGCATTAGTTCCGTGGATATACAGTGTGCGCTATATAAATATCCTATAATAATATGATAAAAAAACAGTATATACAAGATACATAAAGAGACATGTTTTTCTTAAATTGCATCAGATAATGATCAATATTCGTCATCCACCGTTTACACTTCATTTCAAGTAGGAAGTGTGTGTGGAACGAGGTATGAATGTTTCTATATATCTTCTGTACCGACAGTGAAAGGGTTAATATGATATATTTTTTCTATTACTGCCACCTACTTCTATAGTGACGCAGTATTTTGAATACCTTATGTTCACTGCATATCCAAAACAGGTTCTATATCTTATACTTCATCACGTGCCTTGCTTAACGATGTTTACTAACTTTAGTGTTGTGGAGATTTTTACTTTGATAAGAGGACAGTTAGTCGATATTCTCTTTATAGGAAAAGGTGAAGGTCATAACTTGCCAAAATAATTTACCCCCCTCCCACCCCCCCTCCTCCGGGTTTGTTGGACGACAAAAAAATCAAACACTGAAAGTTGTTTATTTTCAGTATGGCACCGAACAAAGGATTTTACAGTCTGTTCATTCACCCTTGTTTTAAGAGGCATGGGGATATCGGTAATATTGACTCCAGGGGACATATATGTGCACAATTTGCGCTATTCATGAGTGCATGGTGTGACAACGCATACATGCACACCTGCACACAGACACACAAACAAGCGTGCATGTAGAGTTGCACGTACACAGACGCATCAAAAGCTCACGAGTATAGCACATCGCATACCTCATTATACTTACAAGATCACGCTCCAGATTCCTGGGGATGTGTCACTGGAATAAAGCTGTTTCCCGAGTACGTGGTGTGTTTAAAGAATGAAGCGCGTGGGATTAGTCACATCATGGTCGTTGATTAAATATAGATTTAAGTACTGTGTCTAGTTGCATCAGGTTTTGTTATTGCAACACCTATGTATATCTGACATCATGAAATATTTCAGCTGTGCAACTACATTAAAATGATTACAGTTTATAAATAGTGAGTGAGTGAGTTTAGGTTTACGCCGCACTCAACAATAGTCCAGCTATATGGCGGCGGTCTGTAAATAATCGAGTCTGGACCAGACAATCCAGTGATCAACAGCATGAGCATTGATCTGCGCAATTGGGAACCGATGACATGTGTCAACCAAGTCAGCGAGCCTGACCACCCGATCCCGTTAGTCGCCTTTTACGACAAGCATAGTCGCCTTTTATGACGGTACCTTTATGACAAGCATTGGTCGCTGAAGACCTATTCTACCCCGGATCTTCACGGGTCCAGTTTATAAATAAGGTATACAAACATTTAATTTAAATTCAAAATAAAATAAATGCAGCCCCACCTTTCTTTTGGTCTGGTACAAGGAAACTGAACATTATTCACACAAACTAAGGTACAATACAAGTCCGCTTAATTACGATTTATTCAGAATTAATTTAAGATCAGTTGCTTTTTGTACTTGTGGTTGTTCTTGTGAAAATTCATGGCATTATCTTTTAGAATGTTCTTTGTACACAACGCAGCGTAAAGATTTGTTTGCAAATGTAAATACTGTCGTTAAACATCGCATAGCCATTAATCTAGATTTATTGTTATTTGGTCATGTTACACTATCACTATATGAAAATGAATTATTATTTGAACATGTACATAGATATATTAAGCTCACTGAAAGATTTTGTAGGTTTATTCTTGTATATACTATACACATCCTCTTTAAATACCTTGTACATTAGGGGCGGTGGGGTAGCCTAATGGTTAAAGCGTTGGCTCGTCACGCCGAAGACCCGGGTTCGAATCCCCACAGGGGTACAATGTGTGAAGCCCATTTCTGGTGTCCCCCGCCGTGATGTTGCTGGAATATTGCTAAAAGCGGCGTAAAACCAAACTCAGTCAGTCAGTCAGCCTTGTACATTCCTTCCACAAATCCCTGTTGTCAATGTTTTTTATATTGTAAATATGACATATGTAACTTCTGGGAAAGGGCGTTCCTAAGTTGGATAACTTGTGCCCAATCCATTTCATTTTCGAATAAAATATGTTTAAAACAAAACATTTAATTTAGTGAAACGAATATATGTCACAGAGAATTCGACCCGTGAAGATCCGGGTCAAAATTGTGTCACGTCTACTTCTTGCCCTACCCTTGAAGGTCCGGGTTAGAGTTGATCTTCAGTAACCCATGCTTGTCGTAAGAGGCGACTAACGGGATCGGTTGGTCAGGCTCGCTGGCTTGGTTGACACATGTCATCGTATCCCAATTGCGTAGTTCGATACTCATGCTGTTGATCCCTGGATTGTCTGGTCCAGACTCGATTATTTACAGACCACCGCCATATAGCTGGAACATTGCGGAGTGCGGCATAAAACTAAACTCACTCACTCACACTTATATTATTCCATCATTCAGTAAACCATATACATGTATATGTTTTTTGCTGGGAGGACAGCTTTAAACACTGACAAATTTTGAATTGATGACTATCATTAACAAACACTTTAAATGTATACATTTACAACAAAGATCAGTAGATCAATTATCAACTTTGAACAACAATGTAAGAATGTTTTTAATTGGTTGATGATCTTCCAGCTTTTGATCCAGTCGTTTAGCCTAGGACATCTCAACTCAGTCGCCCATGCTAAATGACTTGTACATCCCAAGGAAAATATAAGACAGTTTTATGCATGAACACTATATTAAGTTGATGTGAACATGGACGTGTGAATTCACGTTTTTATCGTTTCGTCAAACCTGAATTGTGTTGTCTATACGGAGCCTTTTGGCGCAAAATATCAAGTATATCTTAATAACGGTTTGAATGTCTGCATTATGCATAATTCCATCATAGCAAGTTCTGAACACAGTTACTTCATGGAAGAAAGTTTACGTACGCTTCAGAAGACTCCTGAAGAAATAACTGAAATGCTTCCCTACCCACCCGATCCAGGAAATATTACCTACTACTAGCAGGTCTTTGTTAGCAACTGTTAGCTGCTACTAGCAGTTTCAAAGACAGCCGTTCCGCCCCTGGAGACTAATCCTACCCCACCGCCCGGGGACACCACAAAACGGCTTCACAAACTGAACCCTTGTCGGGAAACGAACCCGGGACTTCGGCGTATGGAGCGAAAGCCTTACCACTGTGCCACCCCACCTCCCTGTAACTTGTACATGTGGTTACCTGGTGGCGAGGGGATGGTTGATTACGGCTAAAAAGATCCTAATATTAAGTGATAAAATGCTGTGCTGGACAATGACGGGACAAATGATCGCTGATGCACATTGATTACATACAGCATGTGGGGCAGTCGGGCAGCCTTGTGGTTAAAGCATTCACTCGTCACGCCGAATACCAGGGTTCGATTCCCTACATTGGTACAATATATGTGTGAAGCCCATTACATTTCTGGTGATATTGCTGGAATATTGCTAAAAGCGGTGTAAAACTAAACTCATTCACTCACATACAGCATGTGAACTAGTCTGGGTTTCCCATGCAACTCAACAATGTGTACTGACATGAAGTAGTCCAAAGGCTATAATTCATAAATAAGATGATACATTGTCATTAGAGACTGCTCTTGGTCCTTTATAGAAGGTAGTCTTTGTTTTGTATGTATGGGTTTTTTTCACTATTTTTTCAAGTGTCTTATCGCTGTTCAGCTGTTTTTAAAGGTATAGGCCTACTAAGTCAGACTTATGTGGAAATGAAGATTCTCATGATTCATTAGCTATCGCTTACGAAGTTTTGCACCAGACAAAAGCCCAACCGATGTCCTATAGTTTGCGTTTTCTACATATTTCGATGGTGCAAAATGCAAATTATTTTAAGCATTGATGTCGTGTTCTAATAAAAAGCTTTAGTCATGCCAACGTTTATGTGTTTATGACACAGATCTTTGAATATTAATCTTAACAGTTACAGTTACTTAGCTGTACGATTTTTGTCAAATTCTTGAAGATACTTTAATCCACATTTACCTACTCGTGACCATGCTTGTTTGCTAGGTATGTAATACGATACGTTGTTGTGCTATCGCTAGCATCATATTTGTGAAAAAAGCCTGATCATTTTGGATACGGAAGTTGTAATGGTATTTTTATAAAAAAAATAGTTTTAAATTATAAATTTGAACATTATTTAGTTTGGGCATGAAAATATATTACATAATTCAGAGACCTTATACCTGTAATAAATTTCAGTGGGTGTGGCGCATCAGTATTTTCGTCTTGGAAGTTTAAATAGTTTAGATATAATGTGAAGAGCTACACAAAGTCGTGCAAAAAGTATTCGGACACTTGAACTAATTTCCATAGACTTACATGTTAATTTAGTTTAGCATAAATAATTTTCATGAATTTAATTTTTGTAAGATCCAAGTCAAATTTTGCACATTGTGAGGAATCATCTTACCTACAATCACGGCCTGTGGGATTGTGCATTGTGGAACCGTACGTAAGTTGATAAATGTGATGTCATTAGTTAAATAGTAGTCGTAACATTTTACTGAAATTATGCGCGCAGAGCAGAGATGATTTCAAATTTGCCTGTCAAATTTGTACAAAGATCCACCCTAAACTCACCTTATGCAAATTATTGATGCTACACTGAAATAACATGTAGGTCTATGGAAATTGTGTCCGAATACTTTTTGCACGGGTCTGTAAATTATCAGCTTCGTTTTTACCAAATGCTGACATGATCCAAATGAAAAAACCTTCAATAATGGACACGCATTGGTTTATCGGTGCTTACGCGTTGTTTCATCATGGCATCGTGGGAAAACATGAGTTGATGACGAAATGAACGCGCAATGAACAACAATATCTTTCTCCACATGCAACAGCAGTCGCCGGCATGCAAGGATATCGACAGCGCTGTTTACGGAAATACCCGAACTTGTCAAATGTTTTCATCACTTCCGGTGCCTGTAACTTTAAGAAGGTTGTGTCTGATTCTGCTCTGACAAATCCCGCTGATTGGTGCATGATGACACTCAAGGTGGTCATAAGCAAAGACAAGCCAGCTGCAGGTAACACACATACTCAATTCGGTTAAATTATTGAATAGCTCTGTATGAACCGGCGAGATGTCATCCGAATGGGCACGTGGTCTTTCATGTCAACCTATTGTTCGGTTTTCGATCACAATGTTTTTACAGTTAAAGAGGCTAATAAACACCCGCGATTTGTATTTGTAAGACTTCCATTCTGTTGTGTGTCCTCATTCTCTAAAATAAAGACGTATATCAGACGGGTAAATGAGCGGAGATAGCAAACAGGACGATATTTTCAAGTTGTAGGCTAGTGTGAGGTTGATTGGTTTTGGCGTTGTTTATGCCCTGCCAGCCAGCAATCTCGAAGATGAGTAGACATTTGCCAAATATGGACTACATTAGTTTAGCTGGCTGAACTAGGACTACACATGCTGCCTGCAGTTGTCATATAATGTCTTATCATCATAAAAACAATGCAGGGATGTTTGAGCAGCCAAAATATCTACCTACCAGTTACAGCATGGTCGATCAAACTACAGAATGGCGAATGGCATTTATGCCACAATAGCTGAATCTTACCTGTACAACAGCCCTGTTGAGAATGTTGCTGCTGCACTTACAGTTTTGAATCAGATAATGATATGTGACCTGGTCTCTGGTTACTTATTCTGGTGCAAGGTGAGGTGATGGAGGGGGAGGAAAGATTGGTATTACCTACTGTATCATGGATCATGCACAGCTACCTTATTTATTATTTCATAAACAAATACATGTATTGCTACAGCTTTAATAAAACTGCACTCATTCCATGCCCTTTACCATGAAGCTGATGAAGTATATACTTATAAGTAGTAGTTTAGTGGTTAAGGCTATTGCTCATTATGCTGAAAACCATGGGCACAATGAGTGAAGCACATTTCTGGTTCCCCTTTTGTAATGATGCTCGAATAATGCTTAAAGTGACATAAAACCCAACTCACTCACTAAATCACTCACTAAATCACATCAGGCTTTCCTCCCACATTAAGGTGACCGCCTCCGTGGTGTAGTGGTTAGAGCGTCTGCCCGGAGAGCGGAAGGTCGCGGGTTCGATCCCCCACCGCGTCATACCAAAAGACATTAAAATATGGTACTTGTTGGTCCCTGCCTGGCGCACAACAAGGACTGGTCGGCTCGGAGTCAGTATAATGTGTCTGAGTGGGGTATTCATGCTTCACTGTGGCATGGTATCTCAGTGAGCTAGCACTATAAAACCAGCTTCAGTCTGGGCTAGTACAAGCAGCCGCGCATACACATACACACACATGCATGTCGTCATATGAGCGAAATATTCTCAAGCACGACGTTAAACCCAATTTCACCTCGCCTCACCCCACATTAAGGTGATTAAAGGGACACTGATCCAGAGCACTTCCCCGGGAATCGTCCCCCGCGACTACCCAGATGATATCCCAGAATTCTTGACTGGGTTGCGATCTCTGCTGCACCACCTGCAAGCTCAATTTGTAGTTAATGTGTAATATGTATATCCTTACATTGATCAATAAAGATGAAATAGTTTCATTTTGGAATTAATCTGAAAATGTAGTCATCTTTTTTACTCATTAATGTTTCCATCTTCATTAGTAAGATAACAAATGAAAACATTTTGAATTTTAACTTTATCTACTAGTGATAAAAAAATTTAGGACTGAAAAAATTCCCAAAGTCAATGTATATCTAGTGAATCTATAACCTGTCTGTAATATCTAGACATTTTATAGATTGCCAAGGTGAATCATATTTCACAGACATGCCCTAAATGCGACCTAGTGTATGTTATAACTAGTGATAGTTTCACAACTGGTCACATGACTGTTATAGGTTTTTCACATTGGCGTATAGTCTCATTGGTCACCCAAGATAGCACACCTGACAACTGTTTGTATGATGTCCACGTTTCTTTAAAAATATAATTTAGTTAGACAGCAGACAATCAACGTTTTGGTGGTTAAACCTTTGAAGGAAGGACATTGTTGTCACACAGGCACTTTACGACAGAATATGGGTGTATTCAGGGTATGTTAGTAAATATACATACATAAATGCTACCTTTTGACAAATCTGACTGTGCAAGAAAAAAAGTAAATTGATCAATCAGCATGTTACCAATTAATCCTTTGAACAATGTTTTTTTTTTAACTGAGCTGATAATTCCTCTCGCTGCACTTCCATGCACATATTACATAATATGTAATGCATTTGCCACATCAGACCTCAATTTATATACCTGTGAAGGTCCGGGTTAGAATCGATCTTCAGCAACCCATGCTTGTCGTAAAGGCGACTAATGGGATCGGGTGGTCAGGCTCGCTGACTTGGTTGACACATGTCATTGTATCCCCATTGCGTAGATCGATGCTCATGTTGTTGGTCACTGGATTGTCTGGTCCAGACTTGATTAAATACAGACCGGCGTCATATGGCTGGAATATTGCTGAGTGCGACGTAAAACTAAACTCACTCACTCACTCAATTTATAATATTGAGTATTTACTCCAGACACGAGAAATGCTAAGTGGGAACCTTTGTTGGGTAATAATATTAGTGGTGACCATAGCTTTACTGTTATGGAGAATGGAGAGGAGAAGGTCCATGGTTCAATCCCCAGCTATACCAAATGAAGGTCCAGGTTAGAATTGATTTTCAGTAACCCATGCTTGTTGTTTGAGGCGACTAACCGGGATTGGGTGGTCAGACTCGCTGACTAAGTTTACACATGTCATAGTATACAAATTGCGAAGATCGATGCTCATGCTGTTGATCACTGGATTGTGTTGTCCAGACTTGATTATTTACAGACCACCACCATATAGCTGGAATACTGCTGAGTGCAGCGTTAAACAACAAACCAAGCAATTATATTGTCAGTCCTTAGTCAGCACAAACCCTTCGTTAGCACTGGGTCATCAAGGTCATTTTTAGCACTATGCAGTAAATGAGCCGAGTCAGCAAGTCTGATATTGTGACCAGCCCCATGATGCTGGGATCAGGTCATCATTCAGCTGTTTCACTGACACCAGGGCACCTGTTTGACAGGGTGCAACTGCACTGTAGCAGGTTTAAAGTTTGTATGTGCCTCCAAAGTTTGAGCTGACTACTCTTGAGTGCAGTAGGTGAAATATTCCACCTTCGCTTCAAATTCATACCATAAATACAACATCTAAACATAAAAATTACTTTCATTTTGCAGCATGTCCTCTTTGTATACATTATCATTGTTACAGATCATCCATCTTTGCAATATAAACATAGAATTTCAAGTTAACTATGTGCAGCCAGTTTACCTGTTGTGCAGTCAGTTAGCCACCCCCACATACTAGGTGCAGTGAAATCAAAGCACATACACACGCGCGCATGCACGCACACACACAATATTAATGTCCGATCATCAGTCACTGTAAATTGAATGAATCAACTGGTAACTACAAATATTCAGATTCTACTCTCATTATTGTTTTCACTGACCGTTTTACTCTTGTATTTTATTTTAGAATTCTAAGAGTTCTTTGCTATTTGCGGTGGGGTAGCCTAGTGGTTAAAGTGGTGGCTCATCACGCCAAAGACCCGGGTTCGATTCCCCACATTGGTAGAATGTGTGAAGCCCATTTCTGATATTACTGGAACATTGCTAAAAGCGGCGTTAAACCATACATACTCACTCACTCACTCACTCACTCACTCTAATTTACCGTTTTAAAGTTGGTCCAATAGTCAAAGGTTTCATATCGATGGATTTTTGTACTTCGTCCAAGTCAGATGTACTAACTGACATATTGCATACAGGGCAAATATTTTAACTCAAGCCTAATTTAGAAGATATGTAATGTTAGAAGAGCCCAATGCAACATGTGGTTTACTTATCATGTTTATCGTTAGATTTCAATCACAAATAACTTCCTCACTCATGCATTGTAGGGCTGGTTGTTATCAAACATATGGGGAGAAATAGCTGGAAATTATCAGACATGTATCAAGATTGATGCAGAAATAAGTGTCATCAACAGCATCTGTCACATGCATTAGTCATCAGTTATATTTATGGTCACTGTCATTATCATACTGGAATGTAAGTTTTTGGTGTAAAACTTGAAAATGACATGCAAATGTGTGTCCAGTGGGCACAAATGTAGAAAATCGACGCAGAAAAAAATTCACTGTGTCCTGGAAATGCACAATATTATTCATTGTACCTATAACACATCCATGACTTTGATAAGTGTTTAGCTGTTATTTTCAGAGCAGTTGCTTGCATCATTTCACCCATCAGTCCATATGATCAGCGATTTATTCCAGGGCCTAAAGAAATTCACAGGACCCTCACATTGCCTGCAAGGACCCCTAAAATGTATAATTGGGGGTTCCTGGGACCCCCATGTTTGTGAGTCAAGGTAAATCCCTGAACTATGCTTTCTGTAATTTCAGCTGCAATCCTTGCTGTTGAGTATTTGAAGGCAAAGGGTGAAGACGTAAACTGGGAGTTCGGTTCATCCAACAGCCTCGCAGTCAACAAGTAAGTAGTACTGTCTAGTCGCTTGTGTAAGTGTTAATTTAAAGGCATTTGATTGGTTTAAATTTTGTGACATAAACATGGTAATGTTAGAAGAAATATGCGAGTCAGTCGTTTCTTATGCTGTCAACCTCTAGTCTCTCTGACCCAAATTTAACTGTTTTCCATCAACTGGCAATTCAGTGATTGATATTATGAACAATGATCTATGTAATTGGTTCTATATGACGTGCATCAAGAGTCAGCAAGCCTGTTTGTCTCCTTATAATAAGCATGGGTTGCTGATGATCCTGATTTTCGGATATACTGGTAGCTTTGATAATGCTGTGGCATAAAGCCACAATCACTCACTCACTCACTCGCTCACCCACTCACCCATCCACCCACACAGCATTATTTGTATTGGTCCTAGTCTTAATAGTTCTCGCAGAAAAATGTGAAGTGAAATATTGCAAAATGTCTTCATTTTGTTTTCAGAGATGTGAATTTCACTTTCTGCCCCTCCATTTGTCGCTATCTGGCCAGGGCTTTCCCCGCAGCTGGACTCCATGGGGCAGCTGTTCTGGAGAAAACTGAGGTAGAATTTCTTTTGAATTCATAATTTTGTATGTATTATCAGCGTTCAAAATGCCTGCCTGAAAGACCGTTCAGGATGGGTTATTTTCAACACGGACTGCCAGATTTTCCAATTCACCTGCCCGACTGTCGATTAAACTTGATACTGTAGGATGTATATGAAGATATTTTGTGGGCAGGTACGTTTTGGTCAGGGATGGCAAGTTTTACATCTAACCAGCCCTGTGGTCTTGCTGAAATTTTTGGGAGTTTCATACCCTGCAGGGTGGAGGTGTACTGAGAATTTTGAAGGAGTACTGACATGTTTTTGTGTGAGGGAGTTGGTGATGTGGTTTGTCTGGACGATTCATCGATCACTATTTCCAACCATGTATTTGTATTTGAAGACGCGTGAGAAATAACTGAGCGACCGTGTGATGCGCGAAATATCAGGTCCGACTGGATATAAATAGGAACAGTGTAGTTTTTAGCCAATCGAAAAATAGTGACGCATATCGTTGCAAGGCAACGCAAGTGATTCCTACTGTCGGGGTTTCCTCATGTGTCAAATCGTGTTACGCAAAAGAAACTTGACAAGTATTTATCCAAAATACATTTCCATTTGCACGATACGCACAGAAATTAAATGTTAGACGTACAAAGGTATTTATGTGCGTACACAATACGCTTGAAATCTTATATTATGTCGTACTTAATTGATTTTGAGGCATACATTACGCCTGTACGCCCCTTATCTGTAGCCCTGCCCTGGTATTATAGTGAGTGATTTAACATTTTATTGGCATTATTTTAGTTGTATTGCCACAGTGTAATAATCCTAGTGATCATGATTCACCAACATGTAGTGATTACTCAACTCACAATACAATGCTCCTATTAATATTATCAATTCTACACATAATGTGTTGGAAGGTTTGCAATAACTCAGGACTGATAACAGCTCAGACTTGAGTATAGCAATCTAAGTAGAAATGCTAACGTCTTGATTAACAGGGTTTCACAGCACTGTTGTAACTGATGACATTGTTCGTATTGTCCAGGTTGACCACTGGATACAGTTTGCTGGAGGTCAGCTGTCATGTGCGTCAGATTTCGCTGATGCCATCCAGTACCTTGACAACGTCCTTGGCTCCATCACCTTCCTGGTTGGCCATGACTTCACCATCGCTGACTTCATTGTATGGGAGGCCCTGCAGAGTAAGAAGATTTTCTTGCACTTAGATGTCTTTGGTTGTGTGTGATTGATCAACTTTTCACATTACAAAACATAACTATTTTAATTATCTGCTCTATGACTGCCTGACTGACTGAGTTTAGATTTACGCCGCTTTTAGCAATATTCCAGCAATATCACGGCGGGGGACACCAGAAATGGGCTTCACACATTGTGCCCATGTGGGGAATCGAACCCGGGTCTTTGGCGTGACGAGCCAACGCTTTAACTACTAGGCTACCCCACCGCCCCCTGCTCTATGACAAATTGATAATCATCTGGGGTATCATTTTGGACTCAGACCCGTGAAGATCCGGGTTAGAATCGGTCTTCAGCAATCCATGCTTGTCGTAAGAGGCGACTAACGGGATCGGGTGGTCAGGCTTGCTGACTAGGTTGACACATGTCATCGGTGCCCATTTGCGTAGATCGATGCTCATGCTGTTGATCACTGGATTGTCTGGTCCAGACTTCATTATTTACAGACCGCAGCCATATAGCTGGAATATCGCTGAGTGTGTCATTAAACAACCAACAAACCAATTTTGGACTCACCTCTGACAAAGCGGCCATGTAGTCTGTATTCCATGATCTGTTTTCTTCATTTCTCACAGCTGATCCAACCAAAGATGTCATGCACTTACTGCCTAGACAATCCACTCAGTTACAAATGGTGGTGGGGTAGCCTAGTGGTTAAAGCATTTGCTTGTCACGCCGAAGATCTGGGTTCATTTCCCAGCATGGGTACAATGTAGGAAGCCTATTTGGGGTGCTCCCCACGTGATATACCTGGAATATTGCTAAAAGTGGAAAAAGCCTTGCTCACTCATAGGCTAAAAGTGGAAAAAGCCTTGCTCACTCATAGATTTGGGCAGGGGGTCAGTCTTCTTATGTGCATTAATTTGCAGTGCAGAGTTACATCCCCATGAATGATGTTGAAACATGTGATCATGGGTTTGAATCCCAGTTTGTCCCAGTTATGTTTCCAGGTTTGTCAGTATCAAACCGTCTCAAAAGTGGTAGTTGTCAGAGACCTGCATCATGTTGGACGGACCGCCTCCGTTGGTGTAGTGGTTAGACCGATCCCCAACTGCGTCATACCAAAAGGCGTTAAAATATGGTACTTGTTGGTCCCTGCCTGGCGCCGGTATAATGGGTACAACAAAGGACTGGTCAGCTTCGAGTCAGTATGATGTGTCTGAGTGGGTAGTCATGCTTCACTATCACAGTGGGCTAGCACTATAAAACCAGCTTCAGTCTGGGCTAGTACAAGCAACCGCGACATACACATACACATGCATGCATCGGCCATATGAGCGAAATATTCTCAAGCATGGCGTTAAACCCAATTCCACCACCACCACCACATGTTGGACGCTTAAGTTTATGGAAGTTGTTATAACAGCATTAAACCCAGCTAAACCTCTACCTTTAGCGGGTGGGGTAGCCTAGTGGTTAAAGCATTGTGTTCACTGGTCACACCGAAGACCTGGGTTCGATTCCACACATGGGTACATTGTGTGAAGTCCATTTTGGTGTCCGTCGCTGTGATATTACTGGAATATTGCTAGAAAAGGCGTGAAACTAAACTCACTCATTCTATCACTCTACCTTTAACAATTTACCTTTGTACTTAAGGGTTATATAATTTTGATTCAGCTAATGGCCAGTGGCTGTCTATGCTGGAGAAAGGGAATGCTCCTCCTCATATCAAGCTGCTACTCAACTTCCTGTCATCAGAGGCCATATTTGCATTGACAATTAGCAAGCTTCCAAAGGTGGAGATCAAGGGAGATAAAGCGAGGAGAGACGGAGTTGTAAGTTTTCTGCCATTACAATGATATAGCACTCTCCAGAGCTTTATCAGTGTGTTAAATTAGCAGAGGGGTAAATCTGTTGCCAAAATATCAGAAAGTCAGATTTGAGCTATCAAATCGTGTCAGTTTTAGTGTTGATTTCTAAGTTACTATGACATTAATGCCAATGTTATCTTTGTGACAATAATGCACTAATTGTTGTCTCACTATGGTGCCACTCAGTTACATTTCGACAATAATGCCATTGTTGTCTCCAGGAATGCGATGGTGAAATGGTGCTGTTACCTGAGCAATAATGCCATTGTTGTCTCAATCCTATGAGGCCACTGTTACCCTGACAATAATGCCACTGTTGTCTCACATTAAAGTCATGGTGCCACTGATACCTGACAATAATGCCATTGTTGTCTCACTATGGTGCCACTGTTACCTGACAATAATGCCATTGTTGTCTCACAATGATGCCACTGTTACCTGACAATAATGCCACTGTTGTCTCACTATGATGCCACTGTTACCTGACAATAATGCCTCTTGTTGTCTCCACAATGATGAGCCACTGTTACCTACACAATAATGCCATTGTTGTCTGACAATGATGCCTCTGTTACCTGACAATGATGCCTCTGTTACCTGACAATGATGCCTCTGTTACCTGACAATGATGCCTCTGTTACCTGACAATGATGCATCTGTTACCTGGCAATGATGCATCTGTTACCTGACAATGATGCCTCTGTTACCTGACATTGATGCCTCTGTTACCTGACAATGATGCATCTGTTACCTGTTCACTGGGTGTTCCCAACAATGACTTCTGTTACCTAACAATGGTTTGATTTATTATCCCCCGCATTACATGCCGGGGATATAGTCGACGCCATCCGCCTGTCCGGTCTCAGACCACGAGCTCGAGCATAACATCGGAAACAGTTCAATATCTTCGCAAGACTTGGTAGATATATCATCTCGAACCTTTTAGTTAGTTTAGCCATTGTTCAAAAATGCATTTGAATTCATTGATGGATTAGAGTGCTCTTTGTTCCATGGCTTGTAATAAGTTTTGATATATTTCATATCAGCCCTATTTCAGTGTGAAAGAAGCACTAATTGTACCTGCTGTATGGGTTTCAGATGAAGAAAGAGGAGGGAAAGTATGTTGATCTGCCAGGGGCTGAGTTGGGGAAAGTGGTCGTCAGATTCCCCCCAGAGGCCAGTGGGTATGTTGAAGCAATCCTCTTTCAGATGTTTCTAAAAATCTGTCAATAATGTTGCTGTGTACTGTTACCTGACATTAAAGTCATGGTATTTCACAATGATGCCACCAATTACTAACAAAAATGTCTCTTTGTCTCACTATGGTGCCACTGTTACCTTACAATAATGCCATTGTTGTCTCACAATGATGTCACTGTTACCTAACAATAATGCCATTGTTGTCTCACTATGGTGCCACTGTTACCTGACAATAATGCCATTGTTGTCTCACTATGGTGCCACTGTTACCTGACAATAATGCCATTGTTGTCTCACAATGGTGCCACTGTTACCTGACAATAATGCCTCTGTTACCTAACAATAATGCCATCGTTGTCTCACTATGGTGCCACTGTTACCTTACAATAATGCCACTGTTGCCTATCAATGAGGCCACTGTTACCTGACAATGGTACGATTTATTTGACAAAAATGTACCCTGACAATGAGGCTTTGGAACCAAACATTGAAGTAACCTGGCAATGATGTTAGCATTGATAATAAGGCTGTTTTCTTTACAGCTCCATCTAAGAAAACTGTTCCCTCCTGTAGGCATGATTGAGATGTCTGTGTGTTTCAGGTACCTGCATATCGGTCACGCCAAGGCAGCACTACTCAACCAGTACTACGCCGAGGCCTTCAAGGGTAAACTCATCATGAGATTTGACGACACAAACCCAGCCAAAGAGAATAAAGAGTATGAAAAGGTATGACCCATAGAAATAACTGTTGGTATCCTTGGCTTCAAGCATACACTGATCCCAGATTGCCCTCGAATAATATCATGATACTGATAACGTTATGGCAATATCTTGCAATGTGATCATTCTGCAAATTCATAGCCATGGTCAGTTAGCAAGCTATTTTTAGGTGGTGGCCTAATGGTTAAAGCATCAGCTTGATATGCTGAAGGCCCAGGTTCGATTCCCCACATGGGTACATTGTGTGAAGCCCATTTCTGGTGTACATTGCTGTGATATTGCTGGAATATTGCTAAAAGCGGCATCTAAGACAGCTCACTCACTCACCATATCTTGACATGCAGGATGCACCAGATTTGTGGACATATGGCCTGAATGACTTTTATCAAAATATCTGTGACCATTGTTGTTGACATGCTGTTTAAAACTGGTTAAACCCAACCTTCTGTATACGATGATGACAATAACTCTCTGGTTTCTGTGTCATCAGGTTATTCTAGAGGACCTGAAAATGCTGGGGGTCAAGTACGACATCTTCAGTCACTCTTCTGACCACTTTGACCGTCTGATGGGCCTTTGTGAGAAGCTGATCCGTGACCAGAAGGCATACGTGGATGACACAGACCCCGAGACCATGAAGAAGGAGAGAGAAGAGAGGAAGGAGTCCAAGAACAGAAAAAACAGTAAGTACTGAAGATGTTGGGAAGATGGTGACTGAATATGGTGTTACGTTGCTTTTAGCACTATACCAGCCATATTGAGGCGAGAACACCGGAAATGAGCTTCACACCTGAGCTTCAAACCCGGGTCTTTGGTGTGATGAGCAAACACTGTAACCATTGGGCTACCCCACTTCTGCTTGGGAAGATCTTGGTATTGCTGGGGTTTGACATTGTGGCAATATGGCCTCCTAAGACCATGATAATCTGGAAAATGAAAAATTGAATCAAATGTTTGGCCTTTGGAAAAACCCTTTCAGATCAAGGATGATGTTATTGATGTTTACACTGGATTAGATTCAGTTAATGTCCAATAGTGTTAGTCTTCTCAGTTCTATGCACTCATTCAAGAATAGCCCAATAATTCACTTGAATCCTTCATTTTTCAACACCATTCCCACGATCCAAGGTTGCACCAAAGCAGTAAGCTTCTATTATGTGTGTCATTTTTTATTTTCCTCCAACATAAATTCGATATATCTGAAACACTGTTCACATAGGATCAAACCATGCAGACTTAATTGCCATGTAAATGTGTCTGTCTGTGGCCAGGTGTGGACAAGAACCTCAGCATGTGGCAGGAGATGGTCAATGCCACCCCATTCGGCCAGCGCTGTGCTGTTCGTGCCAAGATCAGCATGGCATCAGACAACGGGTGTATGCGAGACCCAACCATCTACCGGTGCAAGAATGAGCCTCATGTCCGGACAGGGACTAAATACAAGTGAGTTTCACAGGGGAACAATATTTGCTGTATTAAATGCTCTGCTGCAATAAGTGTCACTAACGTCAAGGCTGTAAGTAGGCCATTAAGTGCCCAATAAGTCCAATTTTCCAACAGATATTCCATATTTTACAGTTCTTTTAAAATGGAAGAGCAGTTCTAAAGGGTATATTATTCCTAAGTGCTCATTGGCTTCACCAGAAAGGTAATAACAATCATTTTCAACCAGGATTATGCAATCTTCATCTGCCCCTCAGGTCCATAACATAAGCACAGTTTCAGCCGGTGTTTCTCCAAAGTCACTCACACTGTCACTGCATGTGGTTTCTGTACGTCTGCTTCCAGGGTGTACCCGACTTATGACTTTGCCTGTCCAGTGGTAGACAGTGTTGAGGGTGTGACCCATGCCTTGAGGACCACCGAGTACCACGACCGAGATGAGCAGTACTTCTGGTTCATTGAACAGCTGGGTAGGCGTCAATACTTGTCATACTTTCCATATATTAGTGGATCGGATAAATATATCTGTTGACAATTAATGTAACAATGCACATTTCTAATCTCTGAGTTTGAAGACTTGCCATGTGGGACAAAATGTGTGTGTAATTTGGATATTCTGTAACAGTTATCCTTTTGTTATGGATTGTTGGATGCTGTAGAACTCCATTGTTTTCTCAATTGTCACATGAACAATTATTGTAAAGTATATCACAAGCATATTTAAGACAACTTCTTTTTAAACAGAAGCCATCATCCAAGTATTTACTATGCCTAAGTGACACAACCCGTCTCATTATAGCGAAGATAAACACTGCTGATTAAAAACACGATCATGTCCGAAAACAAATAATCCAGAGATATATTTAAGTACACATTGCATGTAAGTATTTGATGTTCCTTCAGGCCTATACAGGCTGTTGTACTTCTGTGTCTTTCTACAGGTTTGAGGAAGCCACACATCTATGAGTACAGCAGGCTGAATCTACAGAATATTGTCATGTCCAAGAGGAAACTCACCTGGTTTGTCAACGAGGGCATCGTCGAGGGCTGGTAGGTACTGACAACACTGACTCCAGGTGTAGCTAAACCTGTTATTGTTGTGTGTTACACACAGAGCATCATTCACTGCTTCATGCATACTTGTGTCTGTACACTGCAAGATTATTTTGAAATATCTTTAGGACCTTGCTGGTATGAATATCGATGAGATGGTATATTGCTTACGTGATGTAATATGACTGACAGTGACCATATATGGCCAACACTGATGGAATATGATTGACAGTGACCATATATGGCCAACACTGATGGAATATGATTGACAGTGACCATATATGGCCAACACTGATGAGATGTGAACACAGTGTTTAGATGTGACCGATACTGACGAGATGTGACCAAGAGCAAGAACATATGACCGATACTGATGACATGGGCAGATGTGACATGTGACCAAGGGCAACAAGATATGACTGATACTGATGCAGTGGAACCAATACTGATGAGATGAGACCTTTATAATGAATTTGTCATTTTGTCTTTAACACAGGAATGATCCTCGCTTCCCAACAGTTCGAGGTGTGTTGAGGAGAGGAATGACAGTTGAGGGTCTGAGGCAGTTTATCGTCTCACAGGTAAGTTGGAGGAATATTGGAGGAAATGGAGAACAATGTGTCTGATTGACTAACATTAATATAACATTATGCATTCAATGAGTGAAAGCCTGTAGTCCAGTCGACATTACAACGTGTGTCCAAAGCTTGGGACCTTTAATTATGATCTTTGAACTCTCAACTCCACCCTTGGCTCACTGACTTGGTAGATCTATCTATCTGAAGCTGCTCATGTTTACTTTGTCAGGTCCAGATTTCATTATTCACACTACTATTATACAGCTGGAATAATGTTAGTGTGCATTACTTACTGAGACTCTTCGAACGGGGACATAGCAGTATCAACTTGATGCTTCCATTTAGTCCCCACTTCGCTACTTTCATCCCACTGATGTTATCATGACAACCAGTGGAATTCTATAGTAGCTAGATGAAAGCTGCTGAATCAAGCTGTTCCATCAATACTGTGATTGGATGGTTCAAAACAGTAGTGACAATTATAACAAATAACAGTGTCGATCATTGTTCATAATAAAAGTCACTAGACTGCCAGGTCCAGACTAATTTTTTCAAGCCACCTGGAATTTCACAGAGGGCACAAATGTTTCCTGTTCCAGGGCTCCTCTCGGTCGGTTGTTATGATGGAGTGGGACAAGATCTGGGCCTGCAATAAGAAGGTCATAGACCCGGTTGTCCCACGCTTCACAGCACTGGAGAAGGGGGATGTCGTCCCTGTGTCTGTGGCAGGAGCGAAGGATCTGTCTGACGAAGTTGCCAGACATCCCAAGGTCAGTCAAAACAGTTTAAATTTTATTGATTTTCTGTGTCTCTACGGCTCTCACCCAAAATTTCCTCAAAGCTATTTTCCAATGGAAGAATATCCTGCCATTCTGTGTGAGACAGAACTGCAGAAATATCTTTTGAATCTGCAGCTGATGTTTTATTTCATCTTCAGAACAAGGATGTCGGCATGAAGACTGTGTGGTACGGCCCCAAGTTGTACATAGAGGGCGCTGATGCTCAGGTCATCAAGGAAGGCGAGATTGTCACGTTCATCAACTGGGGAAATCTCAAAATCAAATCCATCAAGAAGTAGGTCGAGTTAAAGTTTAATGATATGACCTGGTATCATTTTACATATATTGACTGAGTGGCTTAACAGTTAATGTTGCATCAAAGTGGTAATAGCCGTAGAGTAATGAGAATAAGTTTGGAATTATATATTGTCATTGGTATGTCAGAATTATATGAGGCAGCAATGAGATATATTGGGAGAAGGTGACAGTTGTTCGACTGAAGGGCATTCTTGTAGTTATGGGGGCGTTGGGGTGCCCTAGCGGTTAAAGAGTTTGTCACTCCAAAGACCATGGTTCTATTCCCCACATGGGTACAATGTGTGAGCCCGTTTCTAGTGAAACTGATACCCAATCTGATGAACCAACTGTGTGACTTACACCCTCACTCTTTTCTGCTGTTGTAGGGATGGAGACAAGGTGGTATCTGTTGATGCTGAGCTCAACCTCGACAACAAAGTAAGTATGAAGAAATCAGATGACCATGGATGGGTGCCACTGTTGTCGGACATAGAGATGTTGTCAACTTAAACCTTTCTAAATTCTTGTGTAGAGATTCATAACTTGATGAAATTCAGAACCATTTCAGTATTGGAGGTTGTTTCTACCAATAAGTATTTGCCTGAAGTGTTTATAAATAAACAGAGCTGATGCCCCCAGTTAAATGCACTGCACTTTTCAAGTAGAAAATATTTCACACAAATACTCAACAAGCAGCTCTAAATGGTGTAGTGAGAAAAACATGTGGTCATCAATTTCAAGGAAGAATGGTGGAGTAGCTAAGTGGTTGAAGCCCTAGCTTGTCACTGCAATTCCGGGTTTAGATTCTCATTGTGAGTACAGTTTGTGAAGCCCCTTTCTGGTGTTCCCTTGCCTGAGATGGCTGGAATATCGCTGAAATGGTTGTAAAACATACTGAAAATGGAGCAAACTGTTGGGAAAACTGATTTACTTAGGACAGGGGACCCTACTGCATTGACAAGTCTATACTGTCTGTTATTCATCAAAACCCCTATGTGAGTGATACTGTTGCCTTCTCCAGGACTACAAGAAGACCCAGAAGATCACGTGGCTGACTGTTACGGACAAGGCGCCACTGGTCCCAGCTGTGTGTGTCCAGCTCGACTACCTCATCAGTAAGGCTGTTCTAGGCAAGGAGGAGGACTTCAAGGACTATGTCAACAAGGACTCCAGAGTAAGTGTACTCTAACATCTGTCCATTCGAATTAAAGAATTTTCGTTCTTAGAAATATATTGTGCTAAGGCTTGTGTGTAGAAAACTAATAAGATATATAAATGTATCCTATTTATAAAATAACCAGACACAATTATCAGGTGTATATAAATTGGAGCCTAGTGGCCCTCAGAAATCGTTCATCTTGGTTTGTGTTTGTTTTTACCAGAAAGAAACCGAGATGCTGGGTGATCCTTGTCTAGCGACCTTAAAGAAAGGGGAGATAATCCAGCTCCAAAGACGAGGTTATTTCATCTGTGACCAACCTTATGAACCAGTCAGGTACAAAGGATACAGATTGTGGTTTGGGGATAGTTACTTGAAATCACGATTGACTTATTGATTATATTTTCCTGTGTTTCCATGGTTACCTGTATTTCAAGGCAGCATTTTCAGTAGACTTTCTAGTTCCACTGTAAAGTAACAGATCAATATCTGTCTCCATCACCAGCTTCTGAAAATGGCCACTTTATGATGAACGTTACTCTCACCGTTTAATTTGTTCACTTTTGATGAATTCATGGGTATCTTTTGTGTTAGTTCATATCCTATACCACCCCATTAAAGGTTTGTGGTATTCATCCAACCAGTAGTAACTGTTGTGTTTCACTAGTGCTTTTAAGATGAAACTATCTTTATCATGGCTCTGTTTTCCAAAGCAATTGCACCTTTACAGCTACCCTAAAGCATGTGTTTAATATTACCTTACAACAGTGATTATTGAAAACTGTTAGCAAGACTCTTCTTGACAGCTGAGACTATTAAGGACCTACCCTCATACAGGTTGTTGCTTTGCAGCCGATACTCTGGGCGAGCTAGTCCCTGTGTGTTGCTGAACATCCCCGATGGCCATCAGAAGGAAATGCCAACTACAGGGTCCAAACACAAACAGGAGAGCGCAAAGGAGGTAAGTCACATGGCCTTGATACACTTAGATCATAAGGACATTCTCCCTGTTTTGAATCCTGGGAAGACAATCTCCCCAGTGTCCTGTGCTTGTGAAAAGAGTTGATTCATGGGGATTGGCGTTAAGCAGTGTTAAGCCTCTCACTCACTCACTCACTCACTCACTCACTCACTCTCACTCACTCTCACTCACTCACTCTCACTCACTCACCCACCCTCACTCACTATATCACTCAAACCCACCCACTCACTCACTCACTCTCACTCACTTGGTGTTTATCTGTTACAGAAGGCTCAGAGCAAGAAGGGTAAGATGGCCGAGAAATCCCCACAGGATGAGATGCCACCTTCGGAGATGAGTCCAGTCAGTGTGGTCGACCTTGACAACAACATCCGTGCTCAGGGAGAACTGGTCAGGAAGCTCAAGACAGAGAAAGCTCCCAAGGTGCCTTTCCTTACTTGTTACTACTGTGCTGATTCCATGTCAGGATATATCCCTGTACCTCATACCTGTTTTAACACTTCTTGTAATTCCAAAAAACAATAATGGGAGTCAGAGCGTAGGTCTCTGAGCAACAGGTAAAATTGTAACTTCAGTTACAATGTTAAGCTATTGATGGACCACGGTGAGGCAATTTTCCCCACAAATCTGAAATTAATCATTGAAAACACTTTATGGGAAAACATTTATGTGGTTTTGTTTGGTACTTTTAAAGATTGATAGCTCCATATAACACAATTAATTCGCAATAGATACAATTATCAGAGCTGGCCAATCAGAATTTGAGAATGTTCCCCCATTCCTGCAATGAAGTTCTGGCGTACATTTTAGCAAGTTTGACAAATGACACACAGCTAAACATTGAGGGATGTGATGATGTATTTCAGGACCAGGTAGATGCTGCTGTGAAAACTCTGCTAAGCCTGAAGGCAGACTTCAAGGCAGCAGCTGGGAAGGATTGGAAGGCAGACGTCAAACTCCCAGAACCTGCTGCAGCTAGCAAGAAGGTCGGAGCTGCTGATGTCAATGTCAATGATCTTAACAACAAGGTCACAGCTCAAGGCAATCAAGTTAGAGAGCTCAAGTCCAAGAAGGCACCAAAGGTGTGTTATGTCACTTTTATTCAGTATTTGACCACCATAATCTATGGCATATATTGGCATTTCAAGAGAGAAAGTGAAGAAAAACCTGAAATACCCAACCTACTGACACAGAAGGCCTATTGCATGTGACGATGAATGACATCATGTCATATTTTCCTCAACAACGAAACTCTGATATATAATGGCTCCACTGCAGCAACCTGCATTGAGAATCTCTAAAATATACCTCAGGGAAATATTGTATACAATTAATGTATCTCAAGGGTAATATCACATGTGAATACTAAACTTAGATTTCAATCTTCTATGAAGTATCCAGTACATTTGTGTTGTTTGTCTTCTTAGGACCAGACTGACGCAGCTGTGAAACTGTTACTGAGTCTGAAAGCAGACTTCAAGGCAGCGACAGGGTTAGACTGGAAGCCCGACATGAAGCTCCCAACAGGGTCAGGTACCCCGGTTAATCAGGCATCGAGTGGCAATGTGGATGACCTTAACACCAAGATTACCACCCAGGGCAATACAGTGCGGGATCTCAAGTCCAAGAAGGCTCCAAAGGTAAATATGTTCAATTTCTGTTTCTGTTTCAGTTATCTATTGTTGGATATCATACTGTCACATTCTTTCTGAATCGACCCGTGAATTGGTCTTCAGCAACCCATGCTTGCCGTGAGAGGCAACTAACAGGATGGGGTGGTCAGGCTCACTAATTTGGTCCCTGCCTGGCGCTCGGCTTCAATGGGTACAACAATGACTGGTCGGCTGGGAGTCAGTATAATGTGTCTGAGTGGGGTATTCATGCTTCACTGCGGCATGGTATCTCAGTGGGCTAGCACTATAAAACCAGCTTCAGTCTGGGCTAGTACAAGCAGCCGCACATACACCTACACACGCATGCACGTCATCATATGAGCGAAATATTCTCAAGCACGAAGTAACCCAATTTCACCTCACCTCACTAATTTGGTTGACACATGACATCGTATCCCAACTGTGTAGGTTGATGCTCATGCTGTAGATCACTGAATGCTCGGGTCATATAGCTGGAATATTGCTGAGTGTGGCGTAGAACAACCAACCAACCCAAACCTTTCTGAATCACATTTTTTTCTGATATTTTACAAGGTATGTCTTCATCGGCAGCGTGTTTAGTACTGTATTATAACTACATGTATTCTAATATTCAGTTGGATTTCATGAGCACATGTGCCTTATGCACGCAACTGAACAAAAATGCCAGGATGTATGCATGTTATCTGCTGTTCTTGGGGGCTTTTAGTACAGGGTGAAAGTTGTTTGACTAGTTTACACTCTAAAATATGTATTAGCAGAGATTGGACATTAAAATTGTTAGCTGGGTGGAGTGAAAGTTAACTCTGTTTAGAAAATGACATATAAGCAGCATCTAATTTGCATGTTGTTACTTGTCATTTTCTCAAAACCTCGAACTCAACCTATTGAATTGTTTTGAGTGCAAATGGCCTCATATTTCTGCTAATCAATATCTTGTGATATTGCCCATGACCTCAACCAACCAGTCACTGTTCATAGAGATATCAAGATAGTTTTATACTCTTGCTTTTGAGTGATTTAGCTTTTAGCAATATCACGGCGGGGAACAACAGAAATGGGCTTCACACATTGTGCAAATGTGGGGAATCTAAACAAACTTTGGTCGTAGCCAATGTGTTAAGAATGACTTAAGAAGTTCGTAGGACTTAAGAAGTTTCGAGAATAGCTAACCCGGTTTATCAACTCCATCAGCATGAATGCTCCCTTTTGAGAGTAGTTAATTTGTTCTTTATCAAAATAGCAAACCTTCTGTCTGATGTCCATCTCTCCAGTTATCAAATCTAAAAATGGAACTGATGAACTGCCACATTGTATTCCATTGGGACAGCTTAATGAAACTTACCTGTTTGCAAGTACTTCAAAGTATTGTCAGAATGTCATTAAATAGTTTGTATTAAGTTGACAATGTCGGATGACATCAAAATCTGCTGTGTTTACCTCCATGCTGCATGCTACAATCATATCACTGTCTGCTACCATCACTTCAGAAATCCTTGTCTCATTGATTCATTGTCTCGAAGCTACTATCACCCTACTGTCTGCCACTATGGCCGCCGGTACAGGGCAACTGTAGCTATATAAAAGCTGCAGAGTAAAGCCATCTGAGTTGTCTCCCTTGACCAGGTGGACCGAAACTGCGGCCACATCATTGAACATGTTTAGTGATTTAACGTTAAGTTGTTTGTACAAATTAATGTGGTACAACCATACTGATTTGCACTCTATGTATAGCTAGGCTCATCAACAACCTCATACATGTTGACAATAAAACATATGTTCAAAAAGGTTCAGTTCATAATGACACTACACACCTTTTTTTTCAAAGTCTATTGGTTGAAGTTTTAAGTCATCACAAAGCACTACATTTCTGGTCATCTGGTTCAAGTCCCCAAACGGATATAATGTGTGAAGCAAATTGAATATTGTCTAAAGTGGCATAAAACTCATCTAAAGGACCATGGTCCCCTCCTTGGTGTGGGTTAAAACACCTTGTCACCACCATCCTGATTTCATGATTGTGCAAGTGTACAATGATGTAAAAATATTCAACATTTCAGGTCACGTCAACTAAAACACGTCTGGGTCTGAGCCACAAAGCGTTTGTAGCTTTACAACCCATCGTAACAATAGTATATCATTGGCTAACGAATAACATAGTGCTACATACACTTCATGGTTAGAGTTCCTGTACTTTTAAGATTTGGTCACCAGCATCAACTGCTCAGTACTTAACCATGTGTATTTCGGCCTTGCATAGCTACTTTTATCACACTTCTGTTACTATGACAACAAGTGGATTTCTATGGTAGCTAAATCAATGCTGCTGAATCAAGCCATTCCATCTGTGCTGTGATTGGATGGTTCAAAACAGTAGTAACAGTTATTTGTAAAGCAGTCATCAAGCTTTTTTCTCTTGATGTGATCATTTGTGGTAACCCACAGCCTAAAGTGTTTAGTATTTACACTGTCACTGGTACAGTAGGGGTCACTGTACACCAGAACAATTAGCATGATTAGCTGGCCAATGTATTTTAAAGTTTGATTAAAAACAACAACCTGGTTTATCAACTACATCAGCAAGAATGCTCCCTTTTGAGAGTAGTTCTTTATCAAAATAGCATTTAATGAAAATAGTCTGTGATGTCACACTTTTGACATGCTCCAGTAATAAAATCTATACAATAGAATCTGTATGTCCTTGATGGAGTATTTGTACATTTGTTTTACTTTTTGTAACCAAATATTATATCATCAATGTTAGCATATTATCGATGTCCCTTGGATTGTTAAAAGTGTTATCTGCAATACAATAATCTGTGTTTATTATGGTCTAAAAGTCATGCCCTTCATTCTGTGATATTTGATATTCCCAAATTGTTTGAGTGATTGTCTCGAAGCTACTATCATCCTACTGTCTGCTACTTTGGCCGCCAGTACATTGCAACTGTAGCTACTTAAAAGCTGCTGAGTAAAGCCATCTGAGTTGTCTCCCTTAAACAGGTGGATCGAAACTGCGGCAACATCATTTATCATCATTTAAACTTGTGATTTTTGGTAATCATGCAGGATATTACCAAGTTGATTTTCCTCTCTGAAGCACAAACCCAAACAAAGTGATGTTGTACAGTTATTTCTGTGGCAAATATGTTGATACAGTCCTTGTCCCCAGTGTACTGAAAGATGTGTAGATTTGTTACCTGGCAGGGTTCGAAATACCCCATATATTAGTGTGCCATGGCACGGTAAATATTGAAATGGCACGGCTAAAAAATGTTTTCGGTGCCCTTTTGACACGCCTGATTTTTCAGAGACATAACTCTTTAATTTAATCCCAATTTTTTTTTTTTTTTTCCAAATTAAATAATACCATACATATTTGAATGCTCATAAACCCATTTCTTTATTTAACAATAAATTTCAAATGATCATCATCATTGTCATTTATTGTAAAAACATGTGGGCATACTTGATTTCTGAAAGGCACACCTAAAATATTTGTCTGGTGCCCTAAGGCACACTTAGAAAAAAAAGTATTTCTATCCCTGCCTGGTCTGGGTAGCCATTTAGGGATATATAAAGGCCTGGTTGGCATGGAGTCAGTATGGTGTGTCTGAGTGGGGTATCCACTGTTGAACTGCCACATTGTATGCCATTGGGCCAGCATAATGAATTTGGCATTAATCTGAGATGGTACAAGCTGACGTTCCATACATATGCATGCACAAATTGTGAGTGCAATAATTCTTAACAAAGGGTTAGACCCCCATTCACTTAAACTTACCTGTTAGCCAGTACTTCAAAGTATTGTCAGAATGTCATCAAATAGATTGTGTTAAGTTGACAATGTCGGATGACATCAAAGTCTGCTGCGTTTACCTCCATGCTGCATGCTACAATCATCCCACTGTCTGCTACCATCACTTCAGAAATCCTTGTCCCATTGTCTCGGAGCTACTATCATCCTACTGTCTGCTACTTTGGCCGCCATACATTGCAACTGTAGCTACTTAAAAGCTGCTGAGTAAAGCCATCTGAGTTGTCTCCCTTAAACAGGTGGATCGAAACTGCGGCAACATCATTTATCATCATTTAAACTTGTGATTTTTGGTAATCATGCAGGATATTACCAAGTTGATTTTCCTCTCTGAAGCACAAACCCAAACAAAGTGATGTTGTACAGTTATTTCTGTGGCAAATATGTTGATACAGTCCTTGTCCCCAGTGTACTGAAAGATGTGTAGATTTGTTACCTGGCAGGGTTCGAAATACCCCATATATTAGTGTGCCATGGCACGGTAAATATTGAAATGGCACGGCTAAAAAATGTTTTCGGTGCCCTTTTGACACGCCTGATTTTTCAGAGACATAACTCTTTAATTTAATCCCAATTTTTTTTTTTTTTTTTTTTAAGATTGGTCAAATTAAATAATACCATACATATTTGAATGCTCATAAACCCATTTCTTTATTTAACAATAAATTTCAAATGATCATCATCATTGTCATTTATTGTAAAAACATGTGGGCATACTTGATTTCTGAAAGGCACACCTAAAATATTTGTCTGGTGCCCTAAGGCACACTTAGAAAAAAAAGTATTTCTATCCCTGCCTGGTCTGGGTAGCCATTTAGGGATATATAAAGGCCTGGTTGGCATGGAGTCAGTATGGTGTGTCTGAGTGGGGTATCCACTGTTGAACTGCCACATTGTATGCCATTGGGCCAGCATAATGAATTTGGCATTAATCTGAGATGGTACAAGCTGACGTTCCATACATATGCATGCACAAATTGTGAGTGCAATAATTCTTAACAAAGGGTTAGACCCCCATTCACTTAAACTTACCTGTTAGCCAGTACTTCAAAGTATTGTCAGAATGTCATCAAATAGATTGTGTTAAGTTGACAATGTCGGATGACATCAAAGTCTGCTGCGTTTACCTCCATGCTGCATGCTACAATCATCCCACTGTCTGCTACCATCACTTCAGAAATCCTTGTCCCATTGTCTCGAAGCTACTATCATCCTACTGTCTGCTACTTTGGCCGCCAGTACAATCCAACTGTAGCTACACAAAAGCTGCAGAGTAAAGCCATCTGAGTTGTCTCCCTTGACCAGGTGGACCGAAACTGCGGCCACATCATTGATCATGTTTACTGATTTAATGTTAGACATGTTTGCACAAGCTAATCTGGAACTTCTAAATTGATATGTGTCTTAATATATACTACTCACACTTTGCTAAAGATAAAAAAAATTCCCATCTTTACTTAAACATTGATTTACAGAGGCCCAGATAAGCTGCGTATCCGGGTAAAATACGCATAGAAAATTTCCAATTACGCATTGAAAAATAATTGTTGCGTACCAATTACGCATTTAAAATGTAAGATACGCGAAAAGTTTAAAACAAATGCGTACGGAATATATTTTTAACATCACTTGCGTAATGAAAAAGACATCGATTGCTATCAAGTTGTACTGTTAGTATAGGACTAGTGTTGTACTGTCAGTATAGGATGAGTGATTTTTTATAAAATCATTTCCATTATATTTAACTTGGTTTTGATTAGGTATGACATAAGGCAAAACTATCTGCTTAGTAAACTTACTAAAAGACATTATACTTAGGTGAGTAAAATGACTGAAATACGCACATATTTGAAAGCAGTGGGTAACGGAAAATAAAATACCCACTCAACATTCATAATACCCACTCCAAAAAAATACAGTGGGTACAGTACCCACATGAGCTAAATCTTATCTGGAGCTCTGATTTAAAATTTGAAATTGTATCCATTTAAAACTAGATAAATAATGATATGGTTACCCCTCTTTAGGCAAACAGCCACTTTAATCTAACCTTATGCACTTGACATGAGTAACCATAAAAATGGTGTTTATGGCACCAATCAACCATTTTGCAAATCATGGAACAAGTCATTGACAAGTACACAACACCTGTCAATAGCAGGTATGGGATCCACAAGATGCAGTGACATACTGAAACCTAGGATCCATGCTTGCAATAAGGTTAGATATTTAAACCAGACCCCACATCATAGTTTTCTGTTGAATCAATGGTTTGATCCTTAGCAAAGTGAGTATAGTATAGCTCATCAACCGCTTTGATGACAATAAACCGCATATAAAGAACAAAGTACAGTTTATAATGACACTACACTACAACTTGTAGGACATGTTGAAGTTTTACCCAAAACATAACATCAGCGTTCTTTGCATTTGTTAGAAATGTTCCTGAAAGAGTTAAAAGTGTTATTCATTTACTATAAATTGCAGTTGGTATGGTCTACAATTCATGCTCTTCATTCTGTGATGTTATTCCTGAATCCTTTGTGCGATTGTCTCGAAGCTACTATCATCCTACTGTCTGCTACTATGGCCGCCAGTACAATGCAACTGTAGCTACATAAAAGCTGCTGAGTAAAGCCATCTGAGTTGTCTCCCTTGACCAGGTGGACCGAAACTGCGGCGACATCACTGATCATTCCGAGATAAACATGTGATTGTGGTAATCATTCAGGAACTGTGCAGTCGTTAGTATGGTCTAAAATTCATGCACTTCATTTTGTGATATCATTCCTGAATCCTTTGTGTGATTGTCTCGAAGCTACTATCATTCTACTGTCTGCTACTTCGGCCGCCAGTACAGTGCAACTGTAGCTAAATAAAAGCTGCTGAGTAAAGCCATCTGAGTTGTCTCCCTTGACCAGGTGGATCGAAACTGCGGCAACATACATCTCAATTAAAAATTGTCTGTGATATGGAAGGGGGAAAGATGGGGAAGTAATGGACGTCAGAGTCAATTTTATAAGGGGCCCAACATTTCAGAGTGCTTAAAAGCTGTAGATAACATAGGTAGGCACTTCACAAAGGTAATCAGTAGTTTATTAGAGCTGATTGGTCATAACAAGGAACAAATGGCAGTTAATTAGTAATGATGAATCGTAAGCGATGACTGGTAATGGATAAAAATAGGGCAAGGGTATCAACATATAGCGACGTTTAAAGTGACCCCAGGTATAAAACTGTAAAATCCTTGCTAATGTATATACCCTGTCTATTAAGTGGGGGACGGTGGGATGGCCTCGTGGTTAAAGTATTGGCTCGTTATGCCGAAGAACCGGGTTCGATTCCCCACATTAGTACAATGTGTGAAGCCCATTCTGGTGTCCCCTGTTGGGATGTTGCTGGAATGTTGCTACAAGCAGTGTAAAACTAACTCACTCACCCACTCACTGTACAGTGGCCCTGAACAAAAGCCATCATCAGCGCATTTGCAATAAGAACATATTTGTCTTCTGTTATTGATTTGATATGATGCTTGGGCGTGTAGAACTCTAGCACTTGGTGCCATGTTGTGTCTTCATGTGGTGTGTCACAAAATTGGTGACGATTAAGAAATCCAGTCATTTTAAGTACTGAAGTAAGTTAGATGATGAAAGTCTGTTACTTGTATTTTAATCACAAGATATCTTAATTTCAATTTACTAGGCTTAGTTTTGTTGAGCCATGTATTTGGTCACCAGTCACCTATCATGTGTTAGGGGGCGGTGGGGTAGCCTAGTGGTTAAAGCGTTGGCTCGTCACGCAGAAGACACGGGTTCGAATCCCCACATGGGTACAATGTGTGAAGCCCATTTCTGGTGTTCCCCGCCGTGATGTTGCTGGAATATTGCTAAAAGCGGCGTAAAACCAAACTCAGTCAGTCATGTGTTAGGTCACATGGGCAGCTGATCTGGGACATCTTGCAGCTTCCTTTGTTGGTGGTGAATGCTACTTTGGTAGCTTCCCATGTGATAGTAAGGTTCTTGTGCTCGCTCATATGTTGGAAGTTGCAGATTTTTTGTCAGTGTTTTTTTGACAACTCTCTGATGTTCTTTGGGTTCGGTGTTGAGGGGTCTGAGGGTTCGCCAATGTATTGGTCACCGCTGTTACAGGACATGTGGTATATACTTCCTCCTTGGCGAAGATATGTGCTGCTGTGGCCTCTGCTATTGGCCTGCAGATGGGTCTTGATGGACAAGGTGGGCAGGGTAACCATTCAGGGTAGTAAGTAGTGTTGGGAATTGCTTGAAATCTCATAATTGATGATTGCTTCATTACCAACGAACAATCATCGAAAAAATTGGTTAGCGTCATTTTTCAGATTTTCCAATCCAGGTTGTTATTGCAGATATGTATAACATGATGCAACTTGCTACTTTAAAGTGATGACTTATATATCATGAACATAAACTTCCTGGAGTCTTCAAGAAATATTCAGTCATTGCTTTTCAGTTAGTGAAGTGAGTTTTCTATGAATTAAACACGTTTTCAGGCACTGACAACTTCAACGATATGTTCCATTGTCAAGTATTTCAAAGACTAAAAAGTAGTTAAAAAATCGTTTATGTTCGATTATGAGAAAATGTGATCGATTGCTTGGTCGTTTGGTCACTGTGACCAATCTTCGATTATTTCAATTAATTGGAACACCACTAGTAGTAAGGGGCATTAAAAACAAAAGGTTATTGCCATAAATATTTCTTACCGGTACTCCCATGTCAAGAATTCCTGTGTTGTAACAACAATAGAGAGACGCCATGTAATGGGTGTATTTTCTGGGTGTTGGCAGGGGGAAGTGGATGCTGCTGTGAAGGTCCTCATGGCTCTCAAGGCAGACTACAAGTCCGCTACTGGGAAAGACTGGAAGCCTGGAGCAGACGGCGGGAAGAAAGCAGCAGCGCCATCTGGTGGCAGCAATGGAGGGAATCAGGAACTTGAGCAGAAAATAGCAGACCAAGGAAGCAAGGTTCGGGATCTCAAAAGCAAGAAGGCACCAAAGGTAGGCAATCAGTTTAGTGTGAGTTTACCTTCCCACAAGCTCTGAAGGAAGACATAGTCTGCTTGTTGCAGCATTCATATATCCGAGAACAACTCATCCCTGTTATGTCCCCACCTCTCCCTCAGGCATATGAATGTTGCTATTTTCTGGTCTATATCCCTTCAACATGTTAAATCAATAGTTTTGGTTAACTGATCTCTATGTATGTCTGCTCTGCAATGAATCCTATTTTCAGCACAAATTAGTTTACGTGATATTTTGGATTAAATATGTGTGCTTTTTGTTGTTTTTTGTTTGATACTCTTACTGTCAGCCATCTTAAGAAAATATATGAGAAAAGTCATTTTAATTTTATTATTAGATTGATCGTGCTATATTGTGTTATGATGTGACATGAGCTGTGACAAGGTTAGATCTACTTATGGTGTCATCTCCTTCAATATACATGATACATAGTTGTTATGAGTGAAGAACCCATGAAGATCCGGGTTAGAAGTGGTCTTCAGCAACCCATGCTTGTTGTAAGAGGCAACTACTGTCCGTTTGAGACAAAATGATACCGATGAATTGCAATCTAACACAAAAACAAATAGACATAAAAGAATCAAACCAACGCGGACTGCAATAAAAACAACAGACCAACTCTAGAAAAAAAATGCATAATTTGTGTCACAAAAATAAAAAAGTTGTTAAAGAAACTGTCATCATTTATTTGTGCGTTTTCCCAGTTTGTTACAAGGGCGCATTGGCAACTAAAGGAACAGCGCGAAAAGTGAGATGCACGTGCATTAACGGATTCTCAACAAATTTTTGAGCTGGCAAGATGACACGTACCCCAGCTGCACATGCAGTGTGCTGTATGTACTTAGTAATTGCATACTTGGGTCACCCCGTCATTTTCATCCTTGAAAAAATCATAGACTTTTATTTTCTCTCACTTTGTCAAGCAGCAGTAATCACATGTCTCTGACGTCGCTTATGCACATGCATCTCGCTTTTTGCGCGCTGTTCCTTTAGTTGCCAGTGCACCCTTGATCACTAGTATGTTAGGAACATAAATTTCCTTTGTGATAAATTTGATCATGACATGGAACAAGCTTGTGCTTATAAAATGTAACAGACAAAACCAACATTGTGAAAAATATTGTTAATGCAATCAAGTGTTATAAAATTGTTTGTGTTCGATTATGAGAAAACATGATCGATTGCTTGGTTAATCGGAACACCAATAATGGGTGCCAGCATTTGAAATTAAGGTGAACCTTGAGGTCCTTGACGTTTGGACCTGTATAATTTGAAGTCTAGGTACTCCATGAATCTGACAGTTTGAACGACAGAGTCCCTTATTCTTAATTTCAAACACAGGGTACCTACTGCAGTGCTATCTTAATAATCTCACATCATGTAGTCCCATAGTCTTAGGCAACACAAAATATGTTTACTGTGCAGAGTTGCATCCCATTGTTGTTACAGGATATGCTTATTACAGATTTCCATCAGCAGCTCACTTCAGCTTCAATCTTTGGTCTGTCAGCTGAAAAAACATGTTATTTATTGCACCAAGTTGTAAATTTCTGCATCCGAATGTTTTCAGAACAGAGTAACCCAACACTATATATTAGGTTGTAATGGGTTTTTGTTTTAGATTAGATAGTTTTAAACTTTAATTTATACTAAATATGTTATGTTTTGCATTAAAGTGCATCATAATGACATTATGTTTTAAGATTTAGGTGAATATTTGCATTATTAGAGCCATTGTGTATACAGTGGAAGCTCTCTAAACCAGCAGCCCTCTAATCCGGCATGCTCTCAATATCAGCACTAGAATTTGGTCCCGACAGAAGCTAGTTAATTTATGATCATTTACACGCCCTCTACTCCGGCGTCAGTCTATTCCATATTTCAGCAAAGACCACCTGATTGACTGTTTTCACAGTAAATAACGCCCTCTATACCGGCATTTCTGGCCGGTCCCAACGAATGTCGGTTTAGAGGGCTTACACTGTAGATGCTGTTCACTTGATGGAATTTCAAGACGGGATCTTTTTATGTCAGTACATGAGTACAAAGCACAAGGTCAAGAAAACTTTGTGTGTTTTAAAGGATGTGCAGACTTGACTCTTGACAAGTCATATTTTATACAAACTTGCTATCTTATTCCCACTGCTGTTACCATGACAACCAGTGGAATTCTTTTGTAGCTAGATGAAAGCTGCTGAATCAAGCCATTCCATCAGTGCTGTGATTGGATGGTTCAAAACAGTAGTGACACCTAACATTTCAAGATTGTATTGTTTTAGTGAGTGAGTTTAGTTTTACGCCGCAATAATCTTGTCTAGACCAGACAATTCAGTGATCAACAGCATGAGCATCGATCTGCGAAATTGGGAACCGATGACATGTGTCAACCAAGTCAGTGAGCCTGACCAACCGATCCCGTTAGTCGCCTCTTACAACAAGCATAGTCGCCTTTTGTTGCAAGCATGGGTTGCTGAAGACCTATTCTACCCCAGATCTTCACGGGTTGTATTGTTATCCCCACAACGCATTTTGCGGGGGGTATTAAAATGGACTCTGTCCGTGGTGCGTGCGTCCGTCCGTCCGTGCACATTTGTCTTTTCCGGATCAGAACTCTAAAACCGTTCACTATTTCTTCACCAAATTTGGCACATAGATAGATCTGGTGATGTACTCGTGCCTTTTGGTAGTTTTGGAATTCTGAATAAAATATTTTTGGCATTTCCATGGCAACAAGTTTGACTTAGCCTGAAATTGGTGGTTGTGCTCTTTTCCGGAGCTGAACTCTAAAACCGCTGGCAATAGATAGATCTGGTGGTGGTGTAATTTTGGTAGTTTTGGAATTCTGAATAAAATATTTTTGGCATTTCCATGGCAACAAGTTTGACTTAGCCTGAAATTGGTGGTTGTGCTCTTTTTCGGAGCTGAACTCTAAAACCGTTCACTATTTCTTCACCAAACTTGGCACATAGATAGATCTGGTGGTGGTGTACTGGTTCATTTTGGTAGTTTTGGAATTCTGAATAAAATATTTTTGGCAACAAGTTTGACATAGACTGAAATTGGTGATAGTGTTCCTTTCTTGAGCAGAACTTTAAAAACCTTTCAATACTCTCCTTCCACTTTTCTATATACACACCTAAATATTTGACATAATCATAACTCGTAGACATAATCATGAAGAGTATTTTCCCATTGCGGGGGATATTGATGAGTTTGTCTTCTTGTTTTAGCTTGTAAGTAACAGCCCTGTGAGGTAGGGCAGGTTTACTTTTGTTGGTGTATGACCACATTGGTTGTTTTTCTCATGACTACTACACAAAGATTATTATCCCCCTCAACGTGTTTTGCGGGGGGTATTAAAATGGACACCGTCCGTGCGTGTACATTTGTCTTTTCCGGAGCAGAACTCTAAAACCGTTCACTATTTCTTCACCAAACTTGGCACATAGATAGATCTGGTGGTGTACTGGTGCCTTTGGTAGTTTTGGAATTCTGAATAAAATATTTTTGGCGTTTCCATGGCAACAAGTTTGACTTAGACTGAAATTGGTGGTTGTGCTCTTTTCCAGAGCAGAACTCTAAAACGGTTCAAAATTCCTTCTCCAAACTTGGCACATAGATTGGTCTGGTGGTGTACTGGTGCCTTTTGGTAGTTTTGGAATTCTGAATAAAATATTTTTGGCATTTCCATGGCACCAGAAATTGGCCTTGCCCATATGGGGAATTGAACCCAGGGCTTCGGTGTGACAAGCAGACAGTTTAATCACAAGGCTATCCCCAAATGTTAGATCATTTCAACATGGCAGCCAGCCACTCCATCCTGAATTAATCCTGTTATTACCCTAGCTGGTTCAATAGACATGATAGATTGTTGAGTGTGTCCGTCTGGCTTGATGTGTTTAGTCTGATTTAGTATCTGAATACAACATTTTGGTAAATATCATTATCCCCGGCCATGAAGTGGAAGGGGATATACATTTGAGCTCCATCCATCCTTCTGTCCGAGATGATGGTGATCAGATTTTCTCAGAAACCATTATAGATAAGGAAATCATATTTGGTATGTGTTTTCAGGACATGAATACCTTGATAATGGTATTAGTAGCTACACCGAAACGTCGCTCATATTATATTAAAGAAGTTGTATATCAATAAAACTCTCCTTCTTGTACCTTGAGAGAGTTCGAAAATGGAAACAGTGTTACAATTTGTTACAGAGTTATGGCCCTTGTCATGTGTTTCTTGACTTAGTGCATGGTATCCCCAATGTGGACAGATTTTCTCAGTAACTGTTATAGATAGGGAAACCAAATGTGTTTTTAGGACATGAATGTCGTGGTGGAGTTAAAAATCAGGAACCAAATAGGAACAGAATAATGTGTTCAGAGAAAGTGGTTTTAGCTTATTCACTTGTGCCTGGGGAAGTGGATATTAAACAACAACAAAAAAATAACCTCTTAGTTATAAACTTGGTTATTAAGACAATGATATTTGGCTTTAGTTCAGTGTTATCAGCATGTAATTATCTTTGTTATTGATTGAACTGTTCGCATATTTAATGGAGTTATGCATAATGTCAGGACTCTGGTTGAGGTTGAGTGAGCTAGTTAAAATTTATTGTCACATGGGCAATATTTCAGCCATTTTGTGCTGATGGGATTAGAGGATGACAGTGTAGATGATTTGTCGTATGTTGACTGCAGAGTTTATTACTCTTTCTGCCCTGAGGTGTGTGTGTGTGTGTGGGGGGGGGATATCTATTGCAGTTCTGTCAGACCCTATTGAGAATAATGAACAAACTTACGGATAACATTTTCATTTTATGTCATGAGAGAATCGTTTCGATACAGATTCTTGTACCATTGTCAAGTGCTTATTGAGAATGTTGAGGGTAAGGAAAAGAATTAGTGTATGTGTTTTGTTGCCACCAAACTACCTTTGTATGTTTTCATCATTTTACTTCTTGTAAATAACTGCCTCCCTGGTGTAGTGGGTAGAGCATCTGCCCAGAGAACAGAAGATCACAGGGTTCTATTCTATTAAAAATGGTACTTGTTGGTCCCTGCCTGGTGCTCGGCATTAATGGGTACAACAAGGACTGGTCGGCTCGGTGTCAGTATTAAGTGCCTGAGTGGGGTATTCATGCTTAACTGCGGCATGGTATCTCAGTGAGCTAGCACTGTAAAACCTTCTAAAGTCTGGGATAGTACAAGCAGCCACACATACACACTAATGCACATTGTCATATGAACGAAATATTCTTAAGTACGACGTTAAATCCTATTTCACCTCACTTCTTGTAAATTGAAGGAATGGAAAAGTATTTTCTTGTTTGATATCAGCATTGTTGACATGTCAAAATTTTAACTGGATACATTTCTATTGAAATGATTCTCCACATAGGTACACTGTGTGAGGCCTATAACTGGTGCTCCCCACCATGATATTGCAGGAATAGTGCTAACTGCAGCATGAAACTAAATTCACTCACTCACTCTGAAAAGAATAATAAATAATCAATATTTTGTGGTCTTGTGAACAGGTTGTAATGTCTATTTTTGACGCATTGTTTGGGAATACTGTGGGACCTTGGTAATCCAGACTCCGTTGAGAGGACAACACTTGATTTATTACTAGTAAATACAATACAGTGCTGGACACTTCTGAATCAGTTGCACTGTCAACTTTCACAAATGATTATGTGACACCTGAACAATGATGAGTTGTCTGAAGTCCATCCGTCAGGGTTTGTGTGATGACTGTTCCTTACTCATAGTTAAGTAGAAATCACACCCCAGGCAGAACCACTGAAGCATGGGACAAACACACAACGCCTCCTTTCAGTGTCCTCAACTCCAGTGCTATAGGTGGCTCAAGCAACTAGCTTAGCTCTGCGTGTGGGGCTATTTTTAGCACGAGTGGGTTGTGTTCATGTGCACACGTGGAGCACTTTGTTTTGAGACAGGGGGATAATAACTGGCTGCATTCAGAATCCCAACCCGGGTACAAGGTATAGTAGATACAGCAGTAGATATGAGCGTTGTGTTGTGGGAGGCAGATAGGTGGTTCTGTCCTGGCCACATGGTATTGGGGTTGCGTCATCTGTCAACATCTAGGTCAATCACAGCCATAACAAACAACAGCATACACTTGGAAAACTGAAACAGAATTATTATTGTTTTTGATTATAAATTAAAGCTTTGCTTTGCTTTTGATTGTATGTTGTCAGTATGATTGTTGAGCTTTGTAGGACAGTGTACCTAGTGGCCCTTTCAAGAAAGCATCATTATTGACAGGGATATCAGATTTAGGGTGAATGTACTTTCAGGCATATGCCCTTATATTTGCAACCGTAAAACCATACTCACTCGCTCACTGAAGTCAACTGAAATTTCCTGTCATTTCAGTTTCCCAGTTGTGTCATAGTTCATATGCAAACTATAATTATAAGGAATGTATTTGATAGTCAAGACTGGTATTTATCTAAGATATCATTTTTGCTTTCATTTTGTGACCAGTGGGTGTCAAATTCTCCAACTGTTCCATTTGTAAATTGGTTTTTACATGTGGAAAATGTAGTTAAAGAATTATATGGTTAAAGTATTGGTAACATTTTCAATATTTTGTGTTTAATAGCAATGTAGCTGAGTGGGAGAGTCATGATGAAAAGGCCAAGCATTTCAATGGATGACAGTTTGTTGTGTTGTATTTCAACTTTTTTCACAAACTTCCAGACTAGTTTAGCTGACTGTTGTAAGCTTCTGTACACATAGTATTAGACAGTGATAAGAATTATGATGCAAGGGTTTGTCAGGTTAGGCTGTCCATTGCTCTGAGGTTTCATCATACATGTTGCAGATAGTGTCATAGATGTTTGTGACCAAAGCAAACCGTGTATCTAATTCATAAGTAAGGGTAGTGTCTTCTGAAGTTCTATTTGTGTTTAAATATTATTAGGTAAGTCTTGAACTGCTATGAAATCAGGATTAGAAAATTTTTTTTAAATTTTTTTAATTCATTATCAGGAATGTTTTTCTGTTATTTATGATTTTTTATCCCCCGCAACGCGTTTTGCGGGGGGTATTAAAATGGACTCCGTCCGTGCGTCCGTCCATCCGTCCGTCCGTCCGTGCACATTTGTCTTTTCCGGAGCAGAACTCTAAAACCGTTCAATATTTCTTCACCAAACTTGGCACATACATGGATCTGGTGGTGTACTGGTGCCTTTTGGTAGTTTTGGAATTCTGAATTAAATGTTTTTGGCATTTCCATGGCAACAAGTTCGACTTTGACTGAAATTAGTGGTAGTGCTCTTTTCCGGAGCAGAACTCTGAAACCGTTCTATATTTCTTCACCAAACTTGGTACATGGATAGATCTGGTGGTGTACTGGTGCCTTTTGGTAGTTTTGGAATTCTGAATAAAATATTTTTGGCATTTCCATGGCAACAAGTTTGACTGAAATTGGTAATAGTGCTGCTTTCTGGAGCAGAACTTTAAAAACCTTTCAATGCTCTCCTTCCACTTTTCTATATACACACCTAAATATTTCTATATACACACCTAAATATTTGACATAATCATAACTCGTAGACATAATCATGAAGAGTATTTTGCCATTGCGGGGGATATTGATGACTTTGTCTTCTTGTTAGACTATATGTTGGTTGTGTTTTCTTGTCAGTACTTAAGTAATTCTGAAAATGTTTACTTGAAACTTGGCCTATGTTCATTTCAGTTTTCCACATTCATGATGTTAATCTCGCACTGGTTCATATCATTGTATATATGCATTGTATTAAACCTCAAACTCAGAACTCTTCAGGATTGTTTCAGTAATCTTTATTAGTGCCCATTAATAATACCCAATATTTAAATGACAGTTTTTATGAGAATTTTACAGATGTGTTACAGAGAACAACACTGAAGAAGGCATATTGGATTGTCTTGTAATTTTATAAGAGCAACTTTTGAATAATATTATTTATTGCTTGATCTGAGACACTAAACGTTAGTTTTTGAATATGGTTTATATGTACATTCACCCTTGTCAATTTTCTGAAAGCCTTAGACGCATATTACTGCAGATGCATTGAGGTGCACAAATCAGGCAACTCATGTGAGAAACTCATGTTCTCTGAAAACAGATTTCTACCTAATCTTATCAGTATGAATTATATCTATGCTTATTTGTTTAAAACAATGTAACAGGAAGTCTAAAAAATCTGCCAAAACATATGTATAGTCTCCATTTACTGTCCCCTCAACGGGATAGACACACAATTCTGACTGGGACAGCTGGACAAAATATTGATTTTTCTATCCTAAGTTAATAAGGATAACTTATTTTCAGCTAATTAAATAATTGTCCTTTAAAACGTCTACAGCTGGCGACCTTTGGTACATGTATATTCACTTCCTACAAATATACTTGTATTGATTTCAAGGTAATAGTGTAATATCATCCAGTGTCTTGCTGATGGTAGTAGGCTAACTGTGTGAGTGTCAGCAGGTGAAGATCTGAAAGTATTCTACTGTGTGTCACTGTATTACATCAGAATGTAAGTGATAGCTGATGACCTAGTTTTGGTCCCAGTCTGGCAGACAATTAGGGTAGCCTTGATGATAAAGTGTTCACTGGTCCTACTGAATACTAAGGTTTGATTCTCTTATGCATTGTTTGAAGCCCAGTTTTCCCGTATCTTGTCTGATATTAATAGAATACTTCTGAAAATTTGTATATATGTTTGTGTTCTTTAGCAGAGTTAAATCTCAGTCAATATTAAGTCTGCTGTCATCATTTGTCTGGTCCAGATTGTTTTTACATGTAGAACATGAATATTTATCATTCAAACATGCAAGAAGTTGTTGTGGTCAGAACTGTGTGTATTGGGTAATGTTCCAATACACTAACAATTAGAGACATCACACAGATATTGTTTATGATACACAAACACAAGATGAATGTACTTATAAACCTAATATACTACTGCAGGAGTATGTGAAGCATGACTTCATGACTGTACTTTCTCAAAAAAGATTAAAACTACCAGATATAGATTGTTTATGGTGCTGTAATTTTCAGTTTATAATCACAGAGCTGCTATAGAAACTTGTATTTGACTGATAGTCAGTGTGCAAAATTTACGCTGGTCCTGTGGTCCCTGGCTAGTAAAAATTCATCAGGACCACTAAATGTTTGCAGTGGTCCTGGTGGCCAGTGAATTTGTATTGATAGTTAAGTAAATCTATGAATGTTATTTTTAGACCATTGAAGTACAGACAGGACCACTAATTATTGTCAACTCACTGGTCCTGTGGACTAGTGGGATATTTTGAAAGGTTTCTTACACTTGATAGTGTATACAGAACATTCTGTTTGTGATCTTCAGAGTGACATTGATGCAGAAGTGAAGATATTGCAGAGTTTGAAGGCAGAGTACAAGGCAGCTACTGGCAACGACTGGAAGCCGCCACAAGAGGGAGCCACCAAGCCACCGAAGTCAGCACCTGAGATGTCAGTTGCAACAGACTCGGCAGAAGCGCTAGCGCTCAAAGCAAAAATCGATGCTCAGGGTGAAAAAGTTAGACAGCTCAAAACTACAGGAGGAGAAAAGGTTTAGAATTATTATCGATCAATTAGTTATTTAGCTTTGATGTTAGATCAAGTTTGTCTGTAAAACCTGTGACAACTGTGAATTCAGCATTTAATTAAAATTAACCCTTTGTGAAACTTTGAGAATTGGCTGTATTTATAGAGTGTTCTACTTTACAAATTGATGTCCATTTCCTGGCTGGGACAAGACATAATTGGTAATACTTGACTATTGGTCATCAGCATTGTTTAATGGAAATACCTTTATACTTAGTGATATGGTAGACCTGTTCCAGGTTAGAATAGGTCCACACCAACCCTTGTCTGTTGTAACTAATAAGATTTAGTGGTGAGGCTTGATGACACTTCATTATCCCTGCCACAAAGTGGGAGGGGGATAATGATTTGAGCTCCTTCCGTCCAAGATGATGGGGACAGGTTTTCTCAAAAACCGTTATAGATAGCGAAACCAAATTTGGTATGTGTTTTCAGGACATGAATGCTTTGAAGGAGTTCGAAAATGGAAACTGCATTACAATTTGTTACAGGGTTATGGCCCTTGTCATGCGTTTCTTGACTTAGTGCACAGTATCCACAATGGGGACAGATTTTCTCAGAAACTGTTATAGATTGGGAAACCAAATTTGATGTGTGTTTTCAGGGCATGAATCCCCCTGGCTCAGTTCGAAAACTGAAACCGTGTTACAATTTGTTGTGGCTGGGATATTGATAACCATGTCTCCTTGTTTCTTTATCTCTTGTTTCATGTGTAAAACTCACTATTGGCTTGTGAACAAATTTGTATAGTATGTCAAGTTTCTTTTGATTTATATGTTTTCAAAGATGTTTTTTTTACGAAATACTGTGTGTGTTAAAAAAATGAATGATTGTGTGCCTACAGGCTGCTTTAGATGTTGAGGTGAAGGCCCTGCTTGAGCTGAAGGGGCAGTACAAGGCCCTGACGGGCGAGGACCTGGCTGGTGGAGGACGCAAGCAGGACAAGAAGGAGAAGAAGCAGGACAAGAAACAGGAGAAGAAGCAGGACAAGAAACAGGAGAAGAAACAAGAAAAGGTTGAACCAAAGTCAGCTGAAGATGGAGCCGCAGGGGGACCCAAGAAAGTCACAAGGTACAGGAGATGGCAGAACTCAAACCATCATCGGAACATATAATTACATCAATAATAACTTCTTTCATTTTGTTAGTGGGGCGGGGGTAGCCTAGTGGTTAAAGCGTTGGCTCGTCACGCCGAAGACCCGGGTTCGATTCCCCACATGGGCACAATGTGTGAAGTCCATTTTTGGTGTCCCCCGCCGTGATATTGCTGGAACATTGCTAAAAGCGGCATAAAACTAAACTCAGTCAGTCAGTCAGTCAGTCATCATTTTGTTAGTGCTATCTTTTGATACAGATTCTTGTACCGTTGTCAAGCAGGGTTTCCTGACAACGGTACAGGAATTGTTGCAGTGACAAAATAAAAGAAGTTGTTATCCATAATGTTAGTCACTATTGTACTTCCCACCTTCTAAATGCCACTCAAAGAGGAAAACATCTAATTAGCTTTCTTTGAATGATCAGGGAGATAAAATATCAACCATCGCTTGTTGTCTATTTAACATTTGATTGTTTAGCGACTGCAGTCAAATAGCTGGAGGGGCAGTGGGGTAGCCTAGTGGTTAAAGCGTTTGCTCGTCATGCCGAAGACCCGGGTTCCATTCCCCACATGGGGAAAATGTTTGAAGCCCATTTCTGGTGTTCCATGCCGTGATATTGCTGGAATATTGCTAAAAGCTGGCGTAAAACCATACTCACTCACTCACTCACTCACTCCAGGCTGGGACTAGAAGCGAGGAAGGAGGAGGCTCTCTCTGACTGGTACTCCCAGGTGATCACCAAGGCGGAGCTGATTGAGTACTACGATGTGAGTGGCTGCTACATCCTGCGACCCTGGTCCTACTCCATCTGGGAGATGATCAAGGAATTCTTTGACAAGGAGATCAAGAAGCTGGGTGTGGAAAACTGCTACTTCCCTATATTTGTGTCCCAGGGGGCTCTGGAGAAGGAGAAGACGCATATAGAAGACTTTGCCCCAGAGGTTAGTTCATGTATTATGTCAGTTATGTCTCAAGATTGGAGGGGCGGGGGTGTAGCCTATGTTGTGTGGTATGTAGCTTAGCACTAGCGGTTACAGCTGTTCAATTCACACCTCAAGAACCGGGTTAGATTCCGCACATGGGTACAATGTGTGAAGCCCATTTCTGGTGTTTCCTTCCCCTTTGGTCTTAGTCTAAAAATATCAAGTTGGACTTCAAGTAACTGTCAGATGATTTGTTCTTTCAAATAATATGTGGGGCCAGGGGGGATTTGTCATCTTGTAATGACTCTTGTTTGAAAATTGTTTCAGTGTGACTGTTTTCAATTCATTTGCTATCTTCTTTTTCATCAGGTCGCCTGGGTAACAAAGTCTGGCCAATCAGAGCTAGCTGAACCCATCGCCATTCGTCCAACCAGTGAAACAGTGATGTACCCATCCTACTCAAAGTGGATCAAGTCTCACCGTGATCTCCCTCTTAGGCTCAACCAGTGGTGTAATGTTGTGGTCAGTAAAATTATCTGGATCTGTAATACATATTTGTAGCCAGAATATAGATTACCTCTTTTGTTATGGTGGACAATTACTTTAGTGGTGAAGGTGTTGCCAGCCATTATCAGTGGTGTATAAGACAGTGATAAGATTTGGCTCTGGCACTGTTAAATGTGCCAGTTTGAACAAAACTTCATGTTTGTGATCATTATGAATATTTTCTTTCACAGAGATGGGAATTTAAACACCCACAACCATTCCTCAGGACGAGAGAGTTCTTGTGGCAAGAGGGCCATACAGCATTTGCAGACAAGGACGAGGCCTGTACAGAGGTATGGGAGACAACTCTTGTGAACATATTGCAATAAACACTGGTGGGATCATGTGTGCACCATTTGTGTAAGCCACAGTTCTCTGTGAAGAGCTATGTGACGCAAGGGTGTACGAGGACCTATGTTATATTGTCAGGTCCACCAGATCATGGAATTATATGCAAGGGTGTACGAGGACCTATGTTATATTGTCAGGTCCACCAGATCATGGAATTATATGCAAGGGTGTACGATTAAGTCTATGTAGTGCGAGAATGTGCTACTTTGGTTGTGATTAGTACACAGCTGAGTGTTTGATCGTAATGTAGAAGTATCTTGTCCATCTCTCCAGGGTGCCACCTCACATCATTTGGGGCAGAACTTCTCCAAGATGTTCGACATAACATACGAAGACCCTGAGACGCATGAGAAGAAATACGTGTTCCAGAACTCCTGGGGTATCACGACAAGAACAATTGGTGTTCTATGTATGGTTCATGGAGACAACACTGGTCTTGTGCTGCCACCAAGGATTGCCTGCTATCAGGTAAGGGGGACAACTCTTCTGCATGTCGGAACATGTCATTCTCACTCAATGGTAGCCTGGAAGTGAAAACTAATAATCTGATGCATTCAGTGAAAAGAATTACAGCACATACATCAATGTTGCATAGTGAACTAATACCTCAACACTTGCTGTTGCTTAGATATTAGGGTAATGTCAATAGAAGATTTTTCTTTGCTATTATGATTCTTGGTCCGCCAGCAGCACAAAGGGATTTATCAAGGATTCCAGACTAAATGCCCTTATCAGAATGGGGAAAATGAGATATTGTTAATAATTTTGGAGTTTTGTTCTGTTAATATTTTCATAAGTTCGGAGGAATTGGGAAATTTGAAGTTCAGATTCAGATTGTGATTTGCAAGTGACCTATAGCTTAATACTGGCCTCTGATATTAGCCGCTGGTCATATCTGCTCCAGGAAAATCTGGATCAGAACTTCAGTTATGAATATCACTGATATGTTAAACATCTACAGCCTGCATCTCTACAACTGGAGGCCTACATATCAGCTAGCTGCCTTCCTCGCACAGTAAACTGAAACACAGTGAATCGATGGAATTGTTCCATGGAGTGTCCACTCAATCAAGTTTAGATTGCCTTCATGGTAGGGGGGGTTGATGTTGTAGCCTAGGGGTTAAAGCGTTCGTTCGTCACACTGAAGACCCAGGATCGATTCCCCACATAGATATAATGTGTGAAGCCCATTTCTGGTTTCCCCAACATGATATTGCTGGCATATTGCTAAAAGTGGTGTAAAACCATACTCACTCACTCATGCTAGGGATGTAGTAATTACCACACTCTCTCTGTGACTGTAGATTGTGATCTTGCCATGTGGCGTGACGGCCAGCATGCTAGGGATGTAGTAACTATCCACACTCTCTGTAACTTTAGATTGTGATTGTGCCATGTGGCTCGGCCAGCATGCTAGGGATGTAGTAACTATCCACACTCTCTGTGACTGTAGATTGTGATCGCGTGCCATGGTGTGTGACGGCCAGCATGCTAGGGATGTAGTAACTATCCACTCTCTGTGACTGTAGATTGTGATCGCGCCATGTGGTGTGACGGCCAGCATGCTAGGGATGTAGTAACTATCCACACTCTTTGTGACTGTAGATTGTGATCGGTGCCATGTAGCGTGGCGGCCAGCATGCTAGGGATGTAGTAACTATCCACACTCTTTGTGACTGTAGATTGTGATGGTGTGCCATGTACGTGGACGGCCAGCATGCTAGGGATGTAGTAATTACCACACTCTTTGTGACTGTAGATTGTGATCGGAGTGCCATGTGAAGTGACAGCCAGCATGCTAGGGATGTAGTAACTATCCACACTCTCTGTGACTGTAGATTGTGATCGCGTGCCATGTGGTGTGGCGGCCAGCATGCTAGGGATGTAGTAACTATCCACACTCTCTGTGACTGTAGATTGTGATGGAGTGCCATGTGGCGTGACGGCCAGCATGCTAGGGATGTAGTAATTACCACACTCTTTGTGACTGTAGATTGTGATCATGCCATGTGGCGTGGCGGCCAGCATGCTAGGGATGTAGTAACTATCCACACTCTCTGTAACTGTAGATTGTGATCGTGCCATGTGGCGTGACGGCCAGCATGCTAGGGATGTAGTAACTATCCACACTCTCTGTAACTTTAGATTGTGATCGTGCCATGTGGTGTGACGGCCAGCATGCAGCCAGGTGATGAGAAGAACCTGATGGATAAGTGTGATGAGCTAGCCAAGATGCTGGAGGCTGGAGGGATCCGATGTAAGGCTGATCTCAGAGACAACTACTCTCCAGGCTGGAAGTTCAACCACTGGGAACTGAAGGTAGGTCACATTATCACACTCTCAGTTGTAGCCACAGTGTCAGGCCGACATCACAGTATCAGGTCCACATCACAGTATCGGCCCACATCACAGTATCAGACCCACAGTTGTAGCCACAGTATCAGGTCCACAGTTGTAGCCACAGTATCAGGTCCACATCACAGTATCAGGTCCACAGTTGTAGCCACAGTATCAGGTCCACATCACAGTATCAGGTCCACATCACAGTATCAGGTCCACAGTTGTAGCCACAGTATCAGGCCCACATCACAGTATCAGGCCCACATCACAGTATCAGGCCCACATCACAGTATCAGGTCCACATCACAGTATCAGGTCCATATCACAGTATCAGGCCCACATCACAGTATCAGGTCCACATCACAGTATCAGGCCCACATCACAGTATCAGGCCCACATCACAGTATCAGGTCCACATCACAGTATCAGGTCCACATCACAGTATCAGGTCCACATCACAGTATCAGGCCCACATCACAGTATCAGGTCCACATCACAGTATCAGGCCCACATCACAGTATCAGGCCCACATCACAGTATCAGGTCCACATCACAGTATCAGGCCCACATCACATTATCAGTATCAGGCCCACATCACATCACAGTATCAGGCCCACATCACAGTATCAGGCCCACATCACGGTATCAGGCCACATCACAGTATCAGGTCCACATCACAGTATCAGGCCCACATCACAGTATCAGGCCCACATCACAGTATCAGGCCCCACATCACAGTATCAGGCCCACATCACAGTATCAGGCCCACATCACAGTATCAGGCCCACATCACAGTATCAGGCCCACATCACAGTATCAGGCCACATCACAGTATCAGGGCCACATCACAGTATCAGGCCCACATCACAGTATCAGGTCCACATCACAGGTATCAGGCCCACAGGCCACAGTATCAGGCCCACATCACAGTATCAGGCCCACATCACAGTATCAGGCCCACATCACAGTATCAGGCCCACATCACAGTATCAGGCCCACATCACAGTATCAGGCCCACATCACAGTATCAGGTCCACATCACAGTATCAGGTCCACATCACAGTATCAGGCCCACATCACAGTATCAGGCCCACATCACAGTATCAGGCCCACATCACAGTATCAGGTCCACATCACAGTATCAGGTCCACAGTTGTAGCCACAGTATCAGGTCCACATCACAGTATCAGGTCCACATCACAGTATCAGGCCCACATCACAGTCAGGCCCCCATTACAGTATCAGGCCCACATCACAGTATCAGGTCCACATCACAGTTCAGGCCCACATCACAGTATCAGGTCCACATCACAGTATCAGGTCCACATCACAGTATCAGGTCCACATCACAGTATCAGGTCCACAGTTGTAGCCACAGTATCAGGTCCACATCACAGTATCAGGTCCACATCACAGTATCAGGTCCACATCACAGTATCAGGCCCACATCACAGTATCAGGCCCACATCACAGTATCAGGCCCACATCACAGTATCAGGTCCACATCACAGTATCAGGTCCACATCACAGTATCAGGCCCACATCACATCACAGTATCAGGCCCACATCACAGTATCAGGGCCCACATCACAGTATCAGGCCCACATCACAGTATCAGGCCCACATCACAGTATCAGGCCCACATCACAGTATCAGGCCCACAGTATCAGGCCCACATCACAGTATCAGGTCCACATCACAGTATCAGGCCCACATCACAGTATCAGGCCCACATCACAGTATCAGTATCAGGTCCACATCACAGTATCAGGCCCACATCACAGTATCAGGCCCACATCACAGTATCAGGCCCACATCACAGTATCAGGTCCACATCACAGTATCAGGTCCACATCACAGTATCAGGCCCACATCACAGTATCAGGCCCACATATCACAGTATCAGGCCCACATCACAGTATCAGGTCCACATTATAGCCACACAGTATCAGGTCCACATCAGGGCCCACATCAAGTATCAGGCCCACATCACAGTATCAGGCCCACATCACAGTATCAGGCCCACAGTATCAGAGTATATCAGGCCCACATCACAGTTTTAGGTCAACACCATTACAGGTGAATCATTTGTATCAGAGCCCCATTCCACAAAGCGATGTTAGCACTAAGTTGATCATAACTCCCATACTCTGACATTAGCCTACGATAGTAGTAGCACTAAGATTGCTTCATGGAACAGAACCCAGGTCTACATCACAGTGTGAAGTTCACAGATATTCGTTGACACAGTTTCAGGTTGCACACTGATTGTGTCTATAGTCATGAACACATCTGTTACTATGTTGTTTATCTGTGCATTGTTTGATTCATGAAAACTTGTAAACACCTGATCACGTGCAAGTAAATACCTTTTAGAACACAGAAGCATGTACCCAAGGTACAAAGGAAGGTAATTTGTCATAAGTGATTGTGTGTATATTCATAAACACATCTGTTAAGAGTATCTGATCGTTGTTAGATGATTTGTGTTTTAACTGCACGTCTGTCCTGACCCTATGTATATGTGTTTGTGTGCAGGGTGTCCCAATCAGGGTGGAGCTGGGTCCCAGGGACTTGAAGCAGAATCAGTTGGTTGCAGTGAGGCGTGACACAGGGGACAAGATCACACTGAAGAATGACAACATTGTCAAACAGCTCAACGATTTACTAAACACAATACAAGATGCCCTATATTCAAAGTAAGTTCTTCACTTTTGTTTAAATTGAATAAATTGTTTTCCTGATGTGTCATTTCTTGAACAGTGACTGGGGAGATATTTCTTTCTTGTTTCTATTTCTATCAAATAGTAATGCAGTAGAAAATAGAAAGCGTTACTGCAGCAGCATTTTGTTAGTCTAGTGTGAAGGGTTCTGAATATACAACTACAGATCCGTTTGAGTCAGAAGCGGACCGATGAATTGCAAATTTTATCATTGTACAAAATTGCCACATCAATATAATTAGTACACATGTTTATCATTTACTAATACCCAACAGCTTTCTTATATTTGAAAATTTTCGGACTCCACCAAAAGAAAGTTCTTTAAGAAACTATCATTTTAAATTTTGACACATTTCACTATTTGTTACGAGGGAGGAGTGCAGAGAAGGGACAGCCAGGTGTTAGAGAAGCATGTGCACAAGTGCCCACCAAGTTATTGATTCATTAGCCTGTGCTGTGCTGTCTCCATCCTTTCTCGCACACCTGGCTGTCCCTTTCTCTGCACTCCTCCCTCGTAACAAATGGTGAACTGTGTCAAAATTTTAATGATAGTTTCTTAAAGAACTTTTTGGTGGAGTCTGGAAAATTTTCAAATATAAAAAAGCTGTTGGGTATTAGTAAATGATAAACGTGTACTATTTATATTTATGTGGCAATTTTGTACAATGATAAAATTTGCAATTCATCGATCCGTTTCTGACTCAAGCGGACTGTAGATATGTGATAGAGATAATTAGTTGTGTCAGATGTATTTAAATATACACTGGACAAATAGTGAAAATTAGTTACATGTATCATGGAATGATAAAAATATCTCTATGAAAGACAGAGCAGTTCAACTAAGCAAGTCTAGAGATGATAAAATTAAAACTAAATTGAAAGGGTGGCAATTAAGTGTTCTGGCATTTGTAGCTCTGTGTCTGAGACAGCATGTACACTAAGACCTGCCAGGATCTATAGATTTGCCCTATATGCAATTCCTTGCTTCTGAGTTTAGCCAAAGTGAATGTCCACAATCTACATCACTATTTGCTGTCCTCACACATAGGATACTTGCAGTAGATGATATCTCAAGTACTGTTAAAAACAGCATTAATCCCATCTCACTTGAATCTGAGCATTGAGATGATTGATTCAGCTTTGATGTCCAGATTGAACAGTATTCTAATATTACTTTCTTTCTTGTCCTCAGGGCAAAGAAAGATATGGACCAATTCGTGACAGTGTCCCATGACTGGACTGAGTTCTGCAACAGCCTTGACCAGAAGAAACTCATCCAGGCTCCATTCTGTGGGGAGATCCCCTGTGAGGACAAGATCAAGAAGGACAGTGCCAGGTGAGAGCAGACGCTGGGAACACTGTCCTGTATGTATCTCTGGATGGTGTGGGGTAGCCTAGTGGTTAAAGCGTTCACTGACCTGTGTCGTCACATGTGTGAAACGAAGACCGTGTTCAATTCCGTCTTGATGGGTACAATGTATGAAACCCATTTCTGGTGTCTTGATATTGCTGGAATATTGCTGAAATATTGCTAAAAGCAAAGTAAAACTAAACTCACTAATTCACTCCAACTCTGGTGCAGATGGATCAGGATATCTCAATGTTGGAATCAGACACCAATTGGCAGGACAGGCCTGGATTCTTCAGTTCCATGACATATCTCTAGTATTGGTCTACTGTTGCTTGAAAAAAACATTCACTCGCAGAACTCTTCCAGAGCGTCAATTTTTAAAAATCCAAGGAGTTTTTAGATTTGGATGTATTTAACAATTACACTTGACTTAATGATGTATTGACACTTCTACCCTAAATCTCTGATCCTGTACTTCTTCCATTCGTCAGTCCTTCAAAAATGTTTGTATTAACAAATCATTCACTGAACATGTAACTTGTCTTAATATCACATAAAAGATTTCCTTTTTCGCCTGATTGTAATATGAACAATAGATGCACAGTTTATAGTTGTTGTGTCAATATCTTGTGTTGCAGGGACGCTGTTGTGGAGGAAGGGGCACCTGCTATGGGGGCCAAGGGACTATGTATCCCCTTCAAACAACCACAGGAGCTCAAGTCAGGGGCCAAGTGTATTTACCCAGGGTGTGGCAAACCAGCAAAATATTTCACACTGTTTGGCAGAAGCTACTAGAGAGCAACAATTCATCAATGGAGTAGTTTTTTAAGAAACATTAAGCTGTATTAGAAGGTTTTCCTCAAGGAAATCAGTTACAAATTACTCATACAATTTTCTTCATTAACTAAACATTGATGCCTAATAGAGAGACTGTCTTAAGTTCACCCAGAGCATGACTCAGAGACTTTGGACCACATGTCCATTAAACAGCTGTTTACAAAACAAGCAAATATCGGAGCCAATCAGTTTAATGATGAGCCTACCTTTATTGCTTTATGACAGGTCTATGTTAAGCTGTTAGATATTTAACTGATGGTCTTCATATGAAATGTAAATTATCAGAATTGGTTTTTTTGTTTTTTTATTATCAATGATACCCTACTTTGATTATTCGATAGATACATACAATAGTGCATGAATAGAATCTCTTCATCTATGCTATGAAATATGAAGGTAGATGGAGTATAGTCATTCTCTGAAGTGCTTCATTTAAACGTTTTAACTACCTAACAAATGCTACTGTGACTTGTTAATGGACATGTCTAACTTTTAATTGAACAGTTAATTGGGAACAGTTAATCGGAAAGGAAACCTCAAATTTTTAATTAATGTACACATCAGACTGTGATATTAAATAATGTGTCATTGTTAATGAATTGTATATTTACAGGGTACTGTAAGTTAAGAGAAATTAATATATTTCCCAACTTGACTAACAAATGTAGATGTATGTTGATTTAGTTCATAATTTGTCAATGCAATTTCCATTAACCCCAGCTGAGGAACATAATTTCATATCTCCTTCCAATGGATTGTCTCCCCTTTCAGTTTCATATGTACATTTTCCACCTCAAGTTTTGTGCCTTCTTGTGTTGGCGAAGGCAGGCATTTGAATCTTCTTGTCACCAATGTACATATGTACATGAATAAAACCCTTCCACCTCAACATACTGAAGTGTTTGGTTTTAGTCTCTAGCTGACAAGTTGTGTTGGGCTAGAAGGCCACAGGCCATGCAATGTTTGAAGCTTGTCTTCCCTTTTCACCACCCTTTTCACAGACATTTCTAAATAGACTCAAAACCAGTAAAATGCATTCCACATGCTTGACACAGTCACCAGCCTAAGATGATAATTATCTCAACTGGAGGGTCAAGCATTGAGTAGATGTTCATATTACATACATAAGAGGTGACTAACGGAATCAGGCTCGCTGAGTTGGTTGACATGTCATCGTATCCCAGTTGCTTTGATTGATGCTCAAGGTGTTCATCACTGGATTATCTGGTCCAAACAGGGGGGCTGTGGGGTAGCCTAGTGGTTAAAGCGTTGGCTCATCATGCCGAAGACCCGGGTTCTAATCCCCACATGGGTACAATGTGTGAAGCCCATTTCTGGTGTCCCCCGCCGTGATGTTGCTGGAACATTGCTAAAAGCGGCGTAAAACTAAACTCAGTCAGTCAGTGGTCCAGACAGACTGCGGACATGTAGCTGGAATATTGCTGAGTGTGGTGTTAAACAACACACATAACAAGATAATATTACATACTGGTCTAGGTTTCAATGGTGGAGGTACCAACATGTCTGACAGAACACTGAATGCTGACCCAGCTGAACCATTGTGCAATATGATTGTTCTCTGGAGTGACGTGGCATCTATGTTAACATGAGATTTGTTCCACTGCCTGAGATAGGTTTTCAGGTCAATTAATATGTTTAACCTTTCAAGCAACCTGATATTTTAATGAGTGCCAAAGACAAGATGAGATAACATTTTATTCCCGTTGAAAAGCCAAGTGTTGTACTGATCACCCATCTGTTGTCTTAACAGTGAGTTTAGTTTTATGCCGCTTTTAGCAATATTCCAGCAATATCACGGCGGGGGACACCAGAAATGGGCTTCACACATAATACCAATGTGGGGAATTGAACCTGGGTTTTCAGTGTGACAAGCTAACGCTTTAACCACTAGACTACCCCACCACCCCGCTGTTTTAACAGTATGGTGGTCAGACTGAAAATTCTGTAAAATGGTAATTAATCTCTGAGTACACATACACATGAGCATTAATTAAGCACGACCCATTATTTCTAGTGTGTGCTTCAAATGACTCTGGTGATTCATTGTTGGGGAAACAGCTAAAGTACTCAACTGAGACATAGGACACCTGCCACCACTGCCACACACACACAGAAGCTGACACTAGAAAACTGTACAAATCGACTACTACACTTCTGTTGAAATGACTGGTAACAGATTAAATGTGTCAATGAAAAACGATAATTGTTTCCTCTCACAGTTGACATTCTTCACGATTTGTTGTTTAATGCAGCATTATTCCAGCTATGTAGACAGTAACATTAAATATCAGTTCATAACTTGGCTCCAGCTGACTCCTATAAATGTAGTGTTAGATATGTATTTGGAGGTGCCAACTGAACAGGAATGATACAAAATGCGTGTCCTTCCTATGGTATCTGACCGAGCGAAAATTGACCATGTGGGTAATAAATACATGGACCTTGATTTTCAAGCATACACTACATATAGTTTTAATACTCATTTAAAAAAGTGGATGGTGCCTGATTAATGCTCATGTGTGTTCGAAGCTTATTCAAACAATATCTTTCCATTTCTTTTTTTCATGAGATAATGACCCTACAATTTCTTGACCTCAAAGATGATTATTAGACTCCCTTGCTTAATTGCAAGAGTGTAGGATCATGATGTTCACAAATTCAAACTGGGAATCTGTTACAGACATTTGCAAAGAACAGATGGGGTCCCCAACGCCAGCCTCTGTGCATGTCAAATCCCTCGTCTGTTCTTCATTCCTCACCATAATGGTCTTGGGGTCCATGGATGATCCCCTGTGTCACAACATGTACGCCAGCTAATAGATTGGTTGTGTGCATAGTATAACTGTTATTTCAGGTAATAGACACTGTCAAAATTGTCGGAGGTGAACAAACAATAGAGACTTTATACATATCACTGCAGTTAACATGGATAACCATCTCCGACACATACTGAGTGAGTTTAGTTATATTATGCTGCTTTAGCAATATTCCAGCAATAACACGGCAGGAGACACCAGAAATAGGCTTCACACATTGTACCCATGTAGGGAATCAAACCCGGGTCTTCAGCGTGACAAGCGAACGCTATAACAACTAGGCCACCTTGCCACCCCAACACACTGAATCACCTTAATGGAGAGTGCAAGGGCTGAATCAAGTGACATCTTTCGTATCATCCGAGATCCACACTAACATTGTTGTTACACTGGTAGATTAAATCTGGACCAGACAAAACCTGTGGTCCGTGCATGAACCCTTTTCACAAAGAACAAAACATGCAACATAGAAGGACAATGGCTTTTAATTCACAGGTGCTACACAAATTACATTCTCTTCAACAAGAAATGTTCATTGTACATGTCACTTCACATGGGTCACAGATATAGGTCCTGCCAAAAAAGCCACCCTGTCCTCCACCACACTCAGTCCAGCTGAAAACAAATACACATACTTTAAATGTACATATATCCCTACAAAAATGGAGTAATATGAACAATTTGAGTTTGAGCATAATGAAATCTACTTTCTTCAGAGTTCAGACACTGAGAATATGTAGGTGTAATTGGCAGTTACCATTTCACATTTCTGGTAAAAAAAAGTATACCTTGGTTTACCTAAACAAACAGAATGAATTCAAGGGGAATGGTCTTTAACATTTTAAAGAAGGGAATGTTTTCAATGCAAGTCTGAAATATTTTGCCATATCACAGGAGCCTGCATATTATCCAGGCAAACAAGCAACGGACATTAGCAATTAGGGGTGGGTATTGCAGAATATTCATATTGCGATGCGAAAGCATATATTGAGATATGTATTGCAATATATTGCAAGAATTTTTAAAACAAAAAACTACTTATGATCGAGTTCAAACACAACAAAATCACTATGCTTGATTAAGCTTTAATAAAAACGGGTAATCATGAGGAAACAAGGAAAAGAACGATTTAACATCAACACAGTGGTTACCAGTTTGAACTTGTTTCTCCACTCTCAAAAAAGCACTGAGATTTAAAACATTCAGATCCAAAACATTGCGAAACATTTGAACAAAAATTAAGAACACAACTTCAAACCGAACTTAACTTCCAGATGTTACGATGTTTTCCGAATGCATGTCGAAATACCGGTTTTCGATCAGCGTATCGCAATACGTATCGATTTCATGTCTGGACCGGTAAATACCGGTAAACCGGTTGTATTGCGCAGCCCTATTAGCAATGCAGATGCTTTCACTTGTTTCAGGGTAAAAAGACATGTCAGACATTGTATCTGCTGTATCTTATAAAGTAAATCCATAAGCAAGAAGACATGGGACACTTGAGGATTAGGTGAGAATAGTTAATTCTACTGTTGAAAACAATTTTACCTTTTTGAAGCCAATATCATCAGCATACTGTCTGAAGCATCGTCTGCATATATTTAGACCATATTTCCTGATGAGTCCGTGAGAATTATTGCACACACGGCTGAAATGAAAGAAGTCTATCTTACTAAAGCACTGATGAAACATTAACATTTCACATGTTCTTTCAAGAAATTGTTATAATATATTGTTTCTACTAATTCAAGATGTATACATAGAAACTCGCACCTTTGGTTAGAGACTCCGCCATCACAACAAAACTAATAAATCTAAACCAAGACACATGAAAAATATTTTAAGTAACCACTTATCACACCCGTCTCACAAATAGGTCTGAATACATTGTTTGCAGTGAATTTTCTGATATAGGGAATTTGCAATTATGCGTTGGCCTCGGTGGACGAACCTTCCACCTCGGACTATTGGACCCTGCCATCTCAAGCAGAGATGTCACATATAACAAGTACATCCTCCAAACTTAAGCTCAAATTTTGCTGCCTTGGGGTATTCTAGATATGCAACATATAGCAACAAAATGCAGGAAGTAACTTTGAGTCCAGTTCTTAACTTCCTAATTATTAAAGTAACATCACTTTTAAGATATTATTTGAACTTTGTCAAGCCGCTTAAGCTTCAACTAATGACAGCCCAGATGAATCTCCTAACTGTTAAAAAGCTACTTTCTGAGTTATAAAATTCTGTTTGCTCTCATTAGTTCATCTAATAATAGACCATATGAAAACTCTAAACACTACTGAAAATGAGGGTTTGAGCAATGAAAAGTACTATATTTTTAATTAATCGCTTACTAATAAACTGGATGTCTAGTAAATTATTATGAAACAATCACATTTATCTCCTTATTAAAAACATATTAACCGAAGTATGAGATAAACTGTGTTGTGTATGAGCAAATATAATGACTAAGACGGTGTGCATCTGGTCTTAGGTTAAAAATAACTCTCTAATTAATCTGGTATACAATTCCGCCCGTATCCCCCTTAAATTTCATTCTGAAATGAAACAGAAATGGTAGAGATACAAACATCAGATATCATCTATTACTGTGAAAATATATGTCACAACGGCCCATCACAACAATCAGTTGTTAGGCGAATGAAGATTCGCATATTCGGGTGTTTTT